ACACACACGCGCGCGCGCGCGCGCGGGGTAATGTGTGCGTTCAAAATATAACTCCGCGACGCCGACGACGTTTGTTTTGTTTTTCAATAATAACACCAATAAACACGTACTCCGCATATATAGCAAGAGCTCTGCATTTGCCTGTACGGAGGGACTGTTTTATTAAGGCCTGCGAAAGAAACCGGTTATTATCGGAAAATATCGTCGCGCGGTGCGTTCGTCGCCATATAGGAAAATAGGTGTGAATGAATTCAATGTAGGGTAACATCTCTCTTTCTCTCTCTTTCTCTCTCGGTTCGTATGCGCAGTAGTGCGTAAGTACGAGAGATACGATACACACATACGCGTAAATGTTGACTCTTCGCCGAGAGCCCCGGAGTCGCGTACGATAAGGACGATCGATTTTTTTTCTGTGCTCATCTCTCTCTCTTTTGCGACTCTCGTTATTTTCTTTACTCGTATAAATATATTTATGTATATAAGTTGACGGCGTGTGCACACATCCGTTTACCCAGTTTTTCGAGTCTGTAAAAAATGCAGCAGTACTGCGGCGCGCAGTGTGCAAAATTGTGATAAAAGTTGAAGTATATAGATGTGTGTAAGAGAGCTGCGAGAGAAAAAAAAATTCGATCCGCCATGTGAGCGTGCAGTGCGTGATATAGTCTGTAAGAGGAGCAACGCGAGGCACATTTATGTAGAGCTGGCTCTCGCATGCGCTCCATGTATATAGCAACATCGGTAATAATACACGTTTTTACATTATAATATAGCACGAGCTTGATACCAGCGAGGAGAATTTTTTTTTCATTCGCCTTACGGATTCTCTCGCTCTCTGGTTCACTCTCCAACTCGAGCTCGGAGAGCGAGAGAGAGAGATTTAAGTCATATTAGAATTGTTTGCGCAACTCACGTGTCGCGGCGCGCACACCGCTTCGCGCGTGCTAGGCGCACGTTTGCAAACACTTTCCTGCGCTTTAAGCTCGCGGCGATCGTAAAGAGCGAGCGTATATTTTACAACTATAATATGTATATTCGCAGGGAGCGACAAAAAAAGAGTTTACTTGCGATCTCGTTGTATCGATAAACATTCCGCGGTCGGTAATTGGGACATACCGATGTAAATATTTCGCTCCCGATTTTCGAATCACAACAGAGAGCTGAAAAGAAAAAAAAAAATAAAGAAATTATCTATGACGCCTTACCGTTATGCAGGACTCGAGAGACTCTTCCCGGACTCGCACGGACGATTCGCGCGGGCTTCTATATATGTATACTCCAAGTATGCGATTTTCATTATGGTCAAGTGCTCGAGAAAAGTATCACCTTACGTTACTTGCATATGCGCGCTACGTACGTACACGCGTGCATTTTTACGCTCGTTACGCGATTGCATAATTTACAGAGCGAATCACGTATTCCTCGTACGTTTAACGGTATATTTATAATAAAAAAATTTCTTTCTCCGTTCTCGGTATATAACGCGGCGGGTATTTCGAATTTGCAAATCGATTCGCGCTCGTATCAATTCGCAATACATCGAGATGATAATAATACATTACATATCTGCGCTTTGCAGCAGTGAGTAGTTGGTATTAATTCATCTTTCGATAAGTCCGCGACGAGCTCGATGCAACGTCGACGGACGCGCACGAACGAACGAACGAACGAACGCGATCGTCGTCACGTTTTTGCACTTATTTTATACTTCACTCTCACGAGTTTTTCCCCTCTTTTCTCGAGCCGAACCGAGCCGAACGAGCGTGCGATTTTCCGAGTATTTCGCGCGCGCAAGCGTGAGCTTTTAAGGCGTTCGCGATCGAGCTCGACTGTTCCGGCGATTTAGTTTGTTTAAAGAAGCAAAAAAAAAAAAAGAATAACAACGCGATTCCTCGATTCGAGTATTTTCCAAAATTTGGAGAAGACAAAAAAAGAATTCGGAAGAATCGCGCGATATGCGTAAATTGGCGAAAAAAAAGAAGAGAAAAATAATATAAATACGAGCGCGCGCGGGGTCGATGACGTCAAAAAAATTGTGTATAAACCGCAAGTGGGTATTTATTATATGAGTTATTAATCACCCATACAGCAGCATATAGCGCTTCGCTTCGCACACAGACGACCTTGACAGATTTTCTCCTCGTTTTTTTTTTCGCTTTTTTGCCCGCGAAGCAAGCCGAGCGAAAGCGAATATTATGTACCCGCAAAAAAAAGAGCGAGAGAGAGGATCATAGTGCGCTAAATAAAACGTATATCAAGAGAGAGAGAGGCGAAGATAATATTGTATGCGTGTATGCGCGCCGATGGGTTAAACGTTCGGTGGCGGCGGCGTTTCGTGACGCGCGTCCTCCTCGCGATGATCGGCTGCCGCGCATCATCATCATCGTATATACCAAAATATAGATATATCTCGTTCAAACCTGTGAGGAACACATGTGCCAAATGTCACGTAACCACTTTCTATTTACTTTTTCTCCGTTTTCCATTATGTTTTTTTTTGGCCGCCACTACGCGTCGTCACTGCCATCCATCACGAGGAGAGTTGTGTTGCGTAAAGGAAAAAGGAAAGAGGAGAAAAAAGAAATTATAATAATAAAGGAAGGAGCACACGCGAATTCGAATTCGCGCTCACGCCGCCAAGAAACGAGTGTAGGCACGACATTATGCGTAATATATTCATCGCACTCGAAGTTCGTATGTATATGGTATGGCAATTGATTCGAGCGTATATATCTGTGCTACTCTCGGCATACCTATATATGTATCGTAATATTCTAATCGCGCACACGCTTCTCTCTCTCTCTCTCTCTCCGTATTATAGTATTATGGTAGTACACACGCCACTAGACTCTAAGCTCGTGTGAAAAAACGTGCGAGACCACGTTGGGATCGCGTAGCCACGTGTGCGAGCCTGTCTGTGTGCGCTGCGGTTTACAAAGAGCACAATTAGACCCGCGTGTTGCGATCGCGCGAAGGAGCACACACGCCGCGGCTCACGTGCGCGACTTATAACGCTTATGATGCTCTGGTGCAATGATTCAATGCATAGCTCTCATGACCGCTTAAAAGCCCACGTACTATCTGGATTATAATATATTCTATAATAATCATAACGACAACGATGATCGTCTGCGTACGCCCACGCGCGCACCGAAAGCTCATCACTTCTGCTGCAAGCTCTGCAAGCTCTGTTCGGAGCTTGCAGCGTGAAACTTTATCAATGTGCGAGGCTCGTGAATTTCTCTCTTGCCGAGAGAGAGTGAGAGAGAAAAGACACGACTTAATCGTTCGAATGATTATGTACGAGGGAGTGGATGTGTATATATAGAGAGAGAAGAAGAGAAAGAGAGTCATGACTGTAAAGATCCGCGTGTTTCGACATCGTCGTCGTCGCACCAGCAGCACCAGCAGCAGCGGCTCTTGTTTTATTTTTTGCCCGCGTTATATAGGCTGGTGCGCGCGCGGCGATTCGATGACACGCACAGTGTATATATAATAAGATCCGTGCAAAAGAGAGAGAGAGAGAGAGAGAGAGAGAGAGAGAGAGAGAGAGAGAAACGGCAAAAAGCTGCTATATTGCCGAGTGACTGGGCGGCGAGGCGGCGACGGTGGAGGGGCGACGAGAACGTATACGGCCTGCCTGCGCTACTATATACACGCGAAAGAGTGCGAGGCGAGGACGAGACAGCGCTCGCAGCAGCTCCGAACCGGTGCTTTATACCGATGCTATATTATTGTACTCGCAGTCTTTGCGGGCTACGCATCGTTGGCAGAGAGGACTGGAGCGAGCGAGCTACCAGTCGATTTTTGCGCGCAGAGCCAACAGCACGCATAGTGTACAAAGTAGTGCGTGCTTGAAACACACATTCGTAAGCGCCAGCGCGTGCGTACAAATATATGCGCATGAGTTGATAATAATAATCGAGTGCAACGTTAGTACACACACACGCGTACTTGTTCGTCGCTCGATTTTCATTGGTGATATGTGCAGATTTTGTGGACAGTTTGACGAGTGTGTAAGGTGAAAAAAATATATTTCACATTGGTATATTTTTTTAAGTGACGAGGTGCAATAGATTATTGTTACGATAAATTTTTGCCAGTGCAACGAGGCAAAGATAGTAATAGTAAAATAATCAAAACAACGAACAAAAAATTAAAAATCATGGTGACGACTCAGACGATGGAGAACATATTAAGCATGCAGCAGTATTACTCGCAATCACCCGAGGAACCGGTGAATTCCTCGCCAAGGAGAAAGCGAAACGTCACCAAAGAGGTGCTTACACGTTACAAATTACCATATACACTTTTTACCCACACACATTTTCATTATACATTTCTAACGCGTTTTAATTTTATCGTTACGCGTGCATCGATGATAATCTCGACGATTCGAGCTGTCGATCGAGCTCATGCTTCCGAGACTTTTTTGCTTTATAACAATTATCTATTTATCTATCTCAACGTAAGAGTGTACAATACGAACTTGTGTGTCGTTTCGAAAACGGCAACGTGTGATAGAAAGCGATCATTTCGAGTTTGGATGACTTTCTTTTGAGCTAAATTTTTTTGAATCAAGTTGCCTTTCGAGCACTTTGTCGAAAATAAGACAGCTTTTAGGGTTGATTTTTAATGGGACTACGAATGAACCAATCTTGATACAATTAACACTGACCTTCGACCTCTATCTTTTAAAAGCCTATTCAGTTACAGTGTGAGTGAATGTCTGTGTAAGATTGAGTTCACGTGCAATAGTAGCCTTTGACCTTCCCCTTGAGTATTGTATATTAGCGCAGCAACCCTACAAGTATATAAAAAAATCATTACCCCGCAATATATCTTCCGGACCCTAACGTGCCAAACTACATCAGCCCATTTTTATACACAATCTGTAACTTTACTAATTAAAAATTATTTTTTCAATTTAAAAAAAAAATCAAACGTAAGCTCGCATACAGCAATTTTTAATTTTGTTCCCTCTCTCATTGTTGTTGTTACAGCAAGACCCGATGTCGCACAGAATCATCGAAAAGCGCCGCAGGGACCGGATGAACAACTGTCTCGCCGATCTTAGTCGGCTCATACCGCAGGAGTACCTGAAAAAGGGCCGCGGACGCATCGAGAAGACCGAAATCATCGAGATGTCCATACGCTACATGAAGTATTTGACCGGAGGTAAAGATCGATTTCTGTCCTTATCCTAACGTTTTATCGATTTTCGACTCGTGTTTAATACCAAAAATAAAATTCGTCTCTCCAGTTATTAACGATCTCAAGCGTCAAACCGGAATCAGCGCCGTCGCGTCGCACCACAACGACGACAGCGTGGACAGCTCGCCGCCGCGCTCGCCACCCGTAGTGCCGGCGGTAATCTCGGGCAATCTGGCCCAGGAGCAGTACAGGCACGGTTATCAGGACTGTCTGCAGGAGGTCGTGCATTACCTCGACGAGGAGGCGCACATGCCCCGAGAAACGGTCTTCTCGCAGCTCGTTCAACATCTGCAGCAGCACTACGACAAGACCTTATCGATGAGTGAGTTTCGAGCTTTTATCGATATATAATTTGTTCTCTTATTCGATGAGACGATTTATTTTATTTTTTATTTTTTATTTTTACAGGAGACATTCACGGTTATCATCAAGCAGCCGAGCCCACGCTTCTGCACAGCTTCAGCGGCATCGCATCTCAGTTCGGCCAGTCCAGGCTACAAGACACCGTCCAGATGTCGAACTATCTGAACAACGCCAACAACAATAACAACAGCAGCAGCATCAACAACAACAATTCCAACGCGGCGAACAACAACAACAGTCAACCCCAGAATCTGTCGCAAAACGGCAGCAGCAACAACAACAACAACAGCAGTATACACCAGAATCACAACAGCTCGGACCGTTGCTCCAGCTCGGGGGTCTCGTCGTACGACTCGAGCGAACCGTTGACGATCGTCGCGCGCCCCGGCGGTGCCTTCCAGCCGCCCCACTCGGACGACAGCAATCACAGCAGCGGAAGCACGTCCGGCGTCAGTCATCATCACCACCATCATCATCACAACATGTCACCGCCACCGGCTCATCACAACTACAACGGCAGCGTGAACCACAACAACAACAACAACAACAATAATCATCACGAGTGTCCACGCGCCGCAGCCGCAGCCGCGGCCTCGTCCTACAAGTTGAAGAACTCGATCATGCAGAGATTCACGGCCGACCAGAGTAGCGTCATCAAGACGTCGCCCTCGCCGCCGCCCACACCGCAATTCGCCACCTGCAACCAGTCAAGCAACGGTATCGTCGAGCCCGAGTCCAAGCACCACCCGCACCAGCACCATCAGCATAAACAGCAGCCACCTCTGCTGGTGCCAGCGTTCGCGCTGCACAACGCCGGCTACTACGTGCCGCTGACCCTCGACACGGACTGCGTCCGAGAGAAGATGGCCCTGCAGGAGATCGACACGGCGCCGGTCTTCCATCCGGTCAACATACCGGTGCGCTTCCCCGCTAACGCGGCGCCCCTTGCAGCCGTCGCCGCCGTCTCGCCGCCGTCGTCGGTACCAGCAGCGGCTGTTTGGAGAGCCGACACGTCTAGTCCGATGGTGCATTGATTTTGAAGTGGGATATGAGAGAGACTATAATTTTTTTTATTTTTTTTTTTTGAAAGAGAGCCGAAAGCTCTAGTTTGTCTACTGAGTATGTCGTTGAGAGGCGCTCACCCGACTGGCTTGACGCGATTAATTTTGCGAAGTTGTCCGATCGTTATCTATACCGTAAAGTTAATGTATAGGAAATCGAAATAATCGAAGCAGAAAAAACAACAACAAAAGCTAGTTTTACAATTTTTTTTGTAATGTTAATCAAAAACAGATACTACGTCTGGTTTTCGAAGCATTTATACTAAATATGTATGTACACCACGAAAAGGTGCGGATGTATGATAATAACATAGGTGACAACGACGATACGTGCAATTAACGTTTTTTTTTTTTCATTTTTTTTTCGCAAAAAAAAGATTATCATCGAAGCACTCGTATGTTTTTAACTCTCATTGTCGATCGGTAAGCGCGCGGCGTGCGATTATCTCGTCGGATAAAAGCGAGAGCGTCGCTGCTCCACGTGGCGTATACGCGATAAATGTGTATCGACGACACGAAGGACGATGCAGCAGTATAGTTGTGCATTGGCGGCGCGTCGTGCTGCGCGAACATCATCATTTTGTACATAATCTAATTATAATATAAATAATGCACGGGGGCACAATGCGTTATAAGCCATGCAAGAGATACGGTTTTTATTGTAAATTAATTGTGTGTGAAAAAATTTTTTTATCGATACATTTATAATATAAGTCGTCGTAGTGTACGCTTAGTATTTCTTTATTATTTCTTTTTTGGAGGGGAAAAGAACGAAGCGATAATTTGAGTTTTTTTCATCCCGAAAAAATCCCGTGTGCTTTTATAAAACGTATAATATATAATATAATATTAATATTATATTATATTTATATAATTTAAGTTCGCAATCGAGAGACCATCGATCGACCATTGTTTCCATTTAAAGCGAGTATTTGGAGTTTGAGAAAAAGTTTTTATTTTTTCTTCGAATCTAATGTGCAATTACTATTTTATTATTGATTGATAGGACGCACATTTATTATGCGCGCAGCTAATGATTATGACAACAAAAGATTTCTAATTTATTTATCTCAGCTTAACTTGTAAAAAAGTGTACAAAGTGTGACAAATTATCGAGAGAATATGTTTATATACTATAATTGTTACGTTTAATAGCTTTATTAATGTTATAAAGACTTCTTAATGATTATTAAGTTAAGTTGAAAAGGTTGATATAAAATAACTTATTCGGTTATAAATTTAAGCGAGAGATGATCGAGGGTAATATACTGAAGAATTTTTGGTATATAAAGTCACTGTCGTTGAGTCGACGTTCAGTGCAAATTCAATGAGACGAATTTTAATATACACGTGCATTAGAAAAATGAATCGTTGTCTGGCCTTCCATAATACGATGTCCAATTGTAACAAAATTTTGTGATATTAATGTTTCAAGCTTAAGAGAGGAAAAGAAATATATATTGTTATATAAACTCCATTAGTCAGTTTTGTTGAAAAAGGAGAAATCATGTAAACGAAATCAGCAATTCCCTCAACGATTATTTACTATAAATAGGCAATTAATAAGGCCGGGTTTAAAACAAAAAAAAATATAGAATTTTAGTTTCCCGCAGTAGAAGCCCACAATCGGTGAAAAATAACAAAAAAAAATGTCATTAGAAAGTATGATAGGTACTGCGTGAATCATGGCTCGCGTTTATAAATTGCCATGGCTCAAATGGGCAGAGGGGCCTCAGCCAAAAAAAGACTGACCGAGACCTGCATTATCAAACACATTAATCATCTTAGTAAAACTGAAATTATATATAGAATATTTGTCTTGTAAAAAAAAAAGATTCATCTCACCAGTACATCAAATGTGTAAATTGTATATATTATGTATTTAAGATGATTGATATTGTACAAAAAACAAAAATTGTCAAAAAAATATGAAAATATAATGTCGCCCAAAAGCGATTTAAAAATTTTAAACCAATCGTTTTTTTTCGTACTACCTTTATTTTTAACTTAGGATAAAAAAACGTACAATGAGATTAACAAATTATTCTTAATCATACGAACTATGATTGATAAATCGATAATAATTAATTTAAAGTTCTGTAAAGTATTTTTGCTGGGATACGAGTTTTCCACAAATCACAATTATATATGCGAGAGAAAAATTTTAATTTTTCGTATTCATTAAAACTAAAACATATATCTATATACTTTTTTTTATCGTAATACTGACTATGATGGGGGAGTGCAGATGAGCACAATTCGCAGAATAGACTCACGCACAATGTTTAAGATAAGTTTTACGTGGAGAATACATGATAGATTAAATGAGTTTTATATGGGAAATTCATCTTACTTTTGAGGGGGGTATTTGAGAATTGTTATAAATATAATAAATTGATATCTTTGGATTCCCAAATATCTACCGTTTATATAATAATAGTTATTAGTGTCAATCGCTTCATTCACCAATTCGCTTGCCTCTCCAGCGAAATCAACGTCCGAGTCTCGCTTCCTCTTTAAAAAAAAGAGATATAATCACACGTCACCTTGCATTTTTCAAAAATGTTTCATGACATATTTCAATATTAAGTAATAAAATCGTAACATGACGAGGATTAAAAAGTTGTTCCAGTTCTGGACACGATACAACTTTGTTTCTCGATCATTACTTATTTAATTCGAAATTAATTATTTTAAATTAAAGTTATAATATCAACGTTTTTTTCGTCCTGTAACACTCGATCACTTGAGCATTTTTTACATTATTTCATCGATTTTTAACGATTATCGGTGAATTTAGGACAAGTCAGACTTCAATATTTATAAAATATTTTCGATGTAAACCCTGAAGAAATTAGATAAAAATTTTTCAATCCAAATTCTAATGTGCGTGAAAAATCGACAAATCATTCGAACCGTTTTTTTGTTGATTATTATAATCAGTCTGCCGAGTCCTCGGCATCGAGGTACGTAATGTACAATATAAAATCGAAAAAAACCTATTCACTACGCCGAAGGAATGATGCTGAGTTGTTGGTTTCTCGCTTATTAATAGTTGCAAAATATACCGTCCGCGTGCACGATTTTTTTCGATCCGCTCCATCATACGCTTCCCTTTTAACCTTTGGCTCATTATACACACATATCTACTTATCAATTCCAATTTTTTTGTTCTTTCATCATTGAATTCGTTTTGCTGCTGTGGCAATTAATGTATTTTTTAATTAATCAATAATAACAGGTGTATACCCGATACTTATAACGTGGTAGAGAATTTTTTCCCGAAGTAACAATCGATAAAAAAGTAAGCGTTCAAAACAACTAGTTCGTATAGGAAGTAAAAACATCGTTTAGAAAATTTAAATCGCTCTTCAAGTTAATAATCAATTCAACAATCAACAGATGGTACAAAAGAAAGTCCGCGTGTGCGTACATGTGCTTGAACAATCGACACGCGGCTTTTTTAGTTACAAATACACAATTATTAAAGTATACATCACATGCTTGTGTAATATGCATTTCTAACTATGTTCGCCAGAGGGCACCTCGTTTCTCTCAGTCTGTCTTCTCTGATTCGACTCGATTCGAACGCGACGAAAGCTCGTCGGTGCGTTCGCGAGACCAAAAGTCATCCACACACAAATGACTCTCGCAAACTCATTCATCCGTTTCTTTTAACAAGGTACGACGACGGCGGCTGAAGATCGTTATCACGAAAGAAATTATCAGCTCGCGGACGGCTCTGATGTGAGCAGCAGCTTAATTAGCGGCGACGCAGCGAGCTCGAGGCTGCACAAGCCCTAGCATATTTGCGGCGTGCGGGGCGCGTGGGTGAACTGCTGATGCAGGTGCGGATATATGCGGGGATTCAGCACGACCGGGTAGCGCTGCTGCGAGGCGGCCGGATGTTGTTGTGCCACGCTCGGCCGGCAGAACTTGCACTTCGCTTGTGGTTGCTGTTGCTGTTGTTGCTGTTGACCCAAGCTGCAGCTGCAGAAGCAGCGATCGTTAACCGTGGCTCGTTGACTCGCTTTCATTGTTTCATAAAGTTGTTGTTGCTCTATTTTCGACGATATCGGCAATTGGCGATGGCGATTGATGGTGATGGTGGTGATTGGGTGACGAAGCACGTAGCTCGGGGCGTTGGTAGTAATTGTAGTAGGTTGGCAATTGCCTCGAGCTTCCACGTGACTCATCAGCTGGCTTCCGAGGAAGCTTGATGGTTACTTTTTCTTCTGGGCTTTCTCCGCGGCCTTTGTTACTTTGCCCTGGATGTCTTTAAAGTTCACGCTCTGCGTGCAAAACAAAAATCAAAGATTAGGTAGAAAGAGTATTGGTTTATTTATCGAGACGAGTAAAAGGGATTTTACCTTGATCACCCCCACAGCGACGGTCTGACGCATGTCGCGCACGGCGAAGCGGCCGAGCGGCGGAAACTCCTGGAACGACTCGACGCACATGGGCTTGGTCGGCTGCAGCACGACGATCGCCGCGTCGCCGCTCTTCACGCACTTGGGATTCTCCTCGGTGGTCTTGCCCGTGCGCCGATCGCACTTCTCCTTGATCTCGGCGAACTTGCAGGCGATGTGGGCCGTGTGGCAGTCCAGCACGGGCGTGTAGCCGTTGCTGATGGTGCCCGGATGATTGAGCACGATCACCTGGGCCGTGAAGTCCTGGGCGCCGCGAGGCGGCTGCGCCTTGGAGTCGCCCGTGACGTAGCCGCGACGCAGCTCCTTCACCGAGATATTCTTGACGTTGAAGCCGACGTTGTCGCCGGGCACGGCCTCGGTCAGGGCCTCGTGATGCATCTCCACGGACTTGACCTCGGTGGTGAGATTGGCCGGGGCGAAGGTGACGACCATGCCGGGCTTGAGGACTCCGGTCTCGACGCGACCCACGGGTACGGTGCCGATGCCGCCGATCTTGTAGACGTCCTTTTGTTTGAGGGGAAAGAAAAGGTTGTTTTTGATTTTTAGTCGATCGATCCGAAAAATAAAAAGAAACAAAAATTTTAAATAAATTCTTATGTAAGTTCTTGATGAGGATTTACAATAAAATCTCCCCAAAAATTTACCAAATTAGCCCTATAAAAAAAGGTCGTACCTAAAAAAATGTTTTTAAATCGATTGAACTTAATGCTATAACGTTGCTTTTTCTTCTCTAGTTTTCGAAAATTTGGCCATACTCCCTCTAGCGTTAACTTAAGAAATACTATACGTATATGTAACAAACTTTCTTTGTTTCACATTGAATTAAAGTTTTTCATTTTTCAAGAATTTTTTTAAGATCATACGTAAGATTTTTTGCAGCTTTGAACTTGCATAAAAACTCACTCAATATTTTCAAGATGTATGGTTATTCAGGCATACCTGCAGCGGCAGACGCAGCGGCTTATCGGTCGGCCTCGAGGGCGGCAGTATCGCGTCGAGCGCCTCGATCAGGGTCTTGCCCTCGGCGTTGCCGTCCTTGCGCTCGACCTTCCAGCCCTTGAACCAGCCGGTCTTGGGCGAGGGCTCGAGCATGTTGTCGCCGTGCCAGCCGGAGATGGGCACGAAGGCCACCGAGGCCGGATTGTAGCCGATCTTCTTGATGTAGGACGAGACCTCCTTCTTGATCTCCTCGTAGCGGGCCTCGGCGTAGGGCGGGTCGGTCATGTCCATCTTGTTGACGCCGACGATGAGCTGCTTGACGCCCAGGGTGAAGGCGAGCAGGGCGTGCTCGCGCGTCTGGCCGTTCTTGGAGATGCCGGCCTCGAACTCGCCGATGCCCGCCGCGACTATGAGCACGGCGCAGTCGGCCTGCGAGGTGCCCGTGATCATGTTCTTGATGAAGTCCCGATGGCCGGGCGCGTCGATGATGGTCACGTAGTACTTTGCGGTCTCGAATTTCCAGAGAGCGATGTCGATGGTGATGCCGCGCTCGCGCTCGGCCTTGAGCTTGTCGAGGACCCAGGCGTACTTGAAGCTGCCCTTGCCCATCTCCTGGGCCTCCTTCTCGAATTTCTCGATGGTGCGCTTGTCGATGCCGCCGCACTTGTAGATGAGGTGACCGGTGGTGGTCGACTTGCCCGAGTCGACGTGGCCGATCACCACGATGTTGATGTGAATCTTCTCCTTACCCATCGCTGCTGCTACTGCTGAGCTTTATTTAATATCTATGCGCTTGCGATGATTCTCTACTGTAAAGACGTTAAACGATATTGTTTCATCATGGAAATTGCGTCATTCGGCGCGTAATATCATGCTATAGACGGAAATTGGACGCGACCGGCGTATTGTATAAGCCTCGCGAGAGTACTTGACAGAGCAATCGCTCGGAATGAAGTTGCGGCTCGTGCGCAAGCACAACTTAATTCGCCTCGTTCGCTCCATGCGATATTGGCACCTGACTGTTGTACGAAGCTCTGCTCCGAGCTATGATTTTCAATTAAACCCTCCTCGCTCGTTCGAACGCGCGATTTGCGTTTTGTGTACTTTGCGGAATTATATATAGTCGGCGCATTGTTAACAGCGCTAATCCTAATGCATCGACGGCGGTGGCGGCGGCAAAGAGCAGCAGCACGTATAATCCCTCCGCGTGCGCGGCGCGTTATAATCCTTCGATCCGTGACCCATTCGGCTCTGTGCAACTACTATTCTATAAATGGCAAGCTTTTATAAAGCGAGCATCATCATCCCCCGCGTCGTAGCCGGTGGTAGAACAAAAAAAGAAAGCACTCTATCGATTATCCGCGCAACAACGCGTACTTATAACGATGCGCTGCCGCTGTGCTGTCTCGTATACTCTTTCGGCGAGATCGAAATTGCACTCGTACATCCGGGGGTGTATGCAACGAAAAAAAAAAAGAAGAAGCAGCGACGATGTTCTTTTTAACCTCCGGCGTGCAGCTGCTGCTGCTGATGTGGGAGGCATCAAAGTGTGTGTTCGCGCGTTTGATGATAATCGATCGATCGTCTCTCGCATCCTATAAAAATAGGCATACTTGTACATCAATTTTTTCCCACTTCCTCCTCCTCTCTCTCTACACTTTATACGTGTTATGCCCCGTGTAGTTGTAGTTGTTCGCGCAGACATGCCCGAGAAGAAGAAGATAAGTTCGACGCGCGCCGCGTATACCGAAGTACACAGCAGCTCAGCCAGTAGTGCAACGCCCCTCTTTTCCTTCGTAGCGTGTGCCTCGCGTGCAATAATGGCCGGCACACACATACATACACACACGAGTATGAAGTATACATGTGTACAGCGCGGCGTTGCGCGCATCGATCGCGCACCTCTCTCTCTCTCTCTCTCTTTCTCTTTCCATCTCTCTCTATGTCTGTCGCTCGCTGTTCGCTATACATATATAACTCCCGGTAAACTGGCGAAAGCTCAAGCTCTCTCTCTCTCTCTTTCTTCTTTCTACCCTCTCTTGCCCCCCTACCTCTCACCCCGCTCGCGCCTCGACCCTCCGACTCGTACGTGTATACAGAATTAGCGAGCGAATTGCATGCCAGATTCGGTCTTCGAAATTATATTGCGCTTTAAAAACGAGATCGAGCTAGCTCTTGCTTATAATCGCGACACACCGTGCGCTGCCTCCCGGATATACTGTATAAGCGCAAAATATCCACGTTCGGCCGGGGATCGATAAGCCGACACACACACACGGCACGCAGCAGCGCTACTCGTTGATCGCGCAAGCACTTCGCGAATACTTTTCCCTCGCGTCGTCGTCGTCTAATAATCAAGAGAATTCAATACTTACCGTTTATTGCTTCGTATACTCTCGGAACCGAGGGCGCGGGTTCGACGCAACAATCGTCGTCAACTATCTTCTCGTGATTATAGGGAACAAAAAATTTTTTCGGTTCAATCGACGAAACCTGCTCTGCTGCAGCTGCTGCTGTGTGCGGCGAGAAAGCACGACACACGATACGCGCGACCACCCGAGCTACGGACTCGGCGAATGCACTTGCGTGTGTATTTGTGCGCGCCTCTAGTGTGGCGGTGTATCGTATATATACATTGCACACTTCTAGGTATGTGTGTGTGTGTGTACGCGCAATAATGTAAGTCTCGCGACGATGCGCAAGCGCTCTGCCCCCCGAGCAAAGGTTCACGCAGTCGCGGACTCTCCTATGTGTATTATTGTACAGGGGGACGAAAAGCGCTGCGTATGCAGGGGTTGCGCGCCAAATCGACGCCGAGTTCAAATTCATGTTGAGGCGAGGGTGAACGTGGCGGAAAAAAAGTTACTATTCTAATGTTTTCACGGGGATCAATTTGTCATTGAAATATAGAAACAGAAACTTCGGATTGGTTTTCAAATTATTGTAAAAACCTCAGTTTGACTTATTCACACAATTTTACTTTGCCATTTGCAGATTCACGGATTTAAAGGTACTTGCCATCTAGTGGTGAAGGCTTAAAGTAGTATCACCTTATTCAAAGTAGTTGAAAACTAGTAAAAAATTTTTGAAACCGTTCAATGGTCTTTTTAAAATGCGTTTAATATTTGTTAGAATGGTAATAGAAAAATGACCTAAGCAGCATTAAAATAATGATTGATCGTATTGAGTTGTTGGCGGAATATGACCAATGGGTTTTTCAAAAAATATCGTGTAACGATGAAGTATTAAAACTTTATATTGTATTCGTTGATGATTATATATTTTTAATAAATTGAAAAGCAGAGGGTATAAAGAAATCCCCGCTGTTATTTTTAAAACGTAACAATGTTTTATTTCCGATGCAACGGTGAAATAATTATTTTTTCTCTTCGTTTTGAAATTCTGAAAAGTTCGATATTTTGACGAGAGTTTGGCACGTGCTCAAAAAACAGTGGAAAAAAAATTTGAAGCACGCGCACGCGGCTCGGCCGACGCGACGATTAGAAGAAATACGAGTGTCTGGGACTGGCTCGAGTCGTTGAATGCCATAATGGTATCGATCGACTGTTTTTAAGCTAGACAAAATTCATACGAAATTTCAGAAAACTTGCAACACGCCTACGCGCGTGCATCATTGGATTTGATCGTCTAATTTACGCTCGAGTTTCTCAAATTAGTTGGTTGTAAATCACTGGGCGTAATATGCGCTCGTGCAGCTCTCGCCCGCCCGCGAGCGCAATGCCAACGCATCAACCTCTCTCTCTCTCCAAGCTGCCATGGGCTCGTAAACGCAAACGATGTTTATATTCGTCGTGTGTTCGTGCACTTGGGAATGCGATACACGCGTGGCGCTCTATGAAGTTATAAATTTACGTACGAATTTTAGCAAAATATTTTTATCAATAATAACAGCGCGCCAGACGTTTATTGCAGCGGGAGTAATCGATTTTTAGTGAGGCTATATTAGAAAAGGGAATTAGTACGAGGTTAAGCGTATTTACAAAATACATTGGTACACGTGTAAATCATGATGCTTGTCGTGTTTTAGTGCTAAAATAATATATATGATCAGAAATATCTCGTTCAACGGGCTTAAAAGATTTTCAGTCGTACGGTGAAAGAGATATAATACGCGAGTTCACATTTTTTTACTCCTACTATAGCCTAATAAAGTTACTCGAATTTTTCGGTATGATTATTTTACAGCACAGTTCGTCATCTGCTATAGTGCTCTCGTGACAGAGAGAAAATTTTACGATGAAATCTGTCCGACCGTAAAGGGGAGAAAATACGCGCGCTTCTCTTCGCGTACGCGAGTTACTTGCTCGCGTTCAAGGTCATCGAGTCATTACGCGTGCTTGCAAAAACGGAAACGGAACTTAGTCATACGCGCGCGGATACGTATTTAAAATCGATGCTCGCGCGACTGAGCTTTTCTCGAAGAAATAATGAGCCACGCTAATGTACCGATGATTTGAACTCATAAATTTAAGCTCTGATTCAGAGTTATTATGTGTAAAGCAGCATTGATCGTATTTTGTTGAAAATTAAAGCTTCATCTCTTGAATCGATTTTGAACAAGTAAAGCTAATTTTTGATCATCATAATTTTTGCGAATTAATAATATTTCTATGACATATTCTCTTATCATAGAAATGCTCAATATTAATAATGTTCTATCGCCAAAAAAGTTACAACTTGAAATTTTTCAAATACATAATCATCAATTGGCTTGTTTTTAGAAATTTTTAAAATAAAACGATGTAAGAAATATTAAATTCATTTTTTATGATAGTAAAAAAGACCATTTCAAAATATTCAGACTAGTTTTCAACCACTTCAATATAATAACAAAACTTTCAGCCTCTACTACTAGATGGCGAGTACCCCTTTATTTGTAAATGTACAAATGGCAAAGTGAACCTAATTGTATAAGTCAAAGCACGGTTTTCGATTTTAGTGATCAATGCACTGTTCTGTTCCGAAAAATTAGCTAAAATTTCGAAAATTTCTACTAAAGGAGATGTCACAAACTAACATTTTTTATCTCTTTACTCCTTCTAGCTATCAATTAACTAAATCAACAGACTAAAGTAAAATTATTGTGAATGACATTGATCGATATTGTTTATCTTCTTCCTCTTTTCGTCAGCTAGTTTTATATCAAGAACGTTCGTGATATTATATTCTTTTATTCCAACCAACGAAGTATACGTACAGAATAGCGTTCACGTGTGTCTTTATTTACAGCGCCACAAGAAAACATAGTCATTGTCAGCGGCAATGGGACAAACAGATACTTTTTCGCACGCGGTCAACCGACGACGGAAAATTCGTCGCGTGTGCGCTGACGTGCGTGCGCGCTCGTCCCGCGTTCATTCACAGCTTATTCGCGCGCTTCTACGTGTGTGCGTGCGCAAGCTCGAACTTGAGAACGATCTAATTTCGTGTGTGAGCTTCTTTATACGCGTACGCGAGCCCGCGCGCGTGTGTGTGGGTTAGTGGCGCTCGCCACGCGAGAGCAGAGTCTTTCTTCCGGATGTCTCGAAGACGCGGGCGAGTATTGCCTTTTTCGGATACACCCGCACATACATAGATGCACGCAGACACACTCGCTCGCGCTCGAGCTTGCAAGCTCGCTCGCACGAGTGCGTCAGAGCCGTCGCCGCTAATTGCTTTTCTATATTCGCGTCAAAAAGAGAGCTTGCGACAGGATATTTCGAGATATTTATTTTGATTGTAGCGCACGTATGTAAGCTCGCAGATGCATCGTATAATTTTCCCGTAAGATGCGATCATCAATTATAGGATCATAGGAGGATATTTATACGAAGTAGCATACCTCGAGGAAAATTTTTGAACGCAAAGAGCCGTGTCTGCGCATTGACGTATCAAACGACGATATAAGCGCAATAAAAATATTGCAATTTATGTACATCGATCGAAAGTACGTTCGCGCGTTCGTGCAACAACCGTAGCAGCAGAGGCGCCGCGCGCGTAAATCAAAAAGTTCGTGCTTGCACGCGCGCCTCCACGCACACGTGTTGTTTGCGTGTAATTTTAATATACATCGATACATCTCCGCCGCGTAAGTTTGGCTGATCTTGCCAAGCTCTGCTGCTACTCGCCTATGCGACAATACCGGATGGTACTCGCGAGGAGATCTAGTTTCTCGCGCTGCGATCCGGCGATGAAACGTAAATTGCAGCGGCGGCAGCAGCAGAAGCAAAGTAAATTTTAATTCATGTACACAATGCGATACAAGCGATTGCGAAATCCAAATACCCGACGAAATATTGGCTAGACGCTCGGAGCCGCCAATTTGTGATACTTTCCAATAGATCGTTGCAGAAATTATCGTCAAAAGCTCACTGAGGGAGAGAGATAGAGAGAGAGAGAGAGAGAGAAATAATTCAACCGTGCCGTCGTGAAAGCCACTTCTGCTTCTGCTACGAGAGCTCGCGAGACTCGCTCTTTTACTTTATTATAGGTGTATCTCGAGTAGCAGCTCGACGACACTTTTGATTGCTCTCGTAAGTCAGCCAGAGTTCACCGGGCAGATGTGCGCGCACGCGAGATTAGGAGGAGAGATTTTTTAAAATCATTTGGAGCCGGTCCAAGGAATGCAACCTTGGCGTTCTTCTGCGCGAAGAGAGAGAGAGAGAGAGAGAGAGAGAGAGAGAGAGAGTTGAAAGAGTGATGCATTTTTGTTTGATGAATTTTAATGACATTTGTCGAAATGTCTTGTTTTGACGATCGTCGATCGCTCAGTCGAGGCGGCCAACGATAAATATTCCTCAGATCTTGAATATTCCTTTCTCGATGACTCGAATCAAAATTGCCGAAACAAAGTTCCTTTAAAAAAATCATCGGGTTTTCACCTCATAAATCTTGAACCATCCGGAAGTAAAATAACAAAGAAATCGAGTCTCTTTTTGCTTCGACAAAAAAAAATGAAACGTCTTGCCATCTCAAACGAGCCTATATGAATTATTGGCATTCGACGCAGCCGCGAGCGTAATAAGAGCGATGGTTCATCACATGTGCTATATAATATATAGGTGTCGAGCAGCAGCAGCAACGCACACTTGAGCTTTCGGTACGTGCGTGCGCTATATTTAACGAATTCCAAGCACGTACGTACACTCAAATGTATATACGCATTACCACCGGTGTTCGAAAGTGGTCGGTCGTCGTCGCGAGCGTTGAAAATTTTACAGGCGCAAAATTAGCCTTCTCTCTCTTTCTCTCTCTCTCTCTCTCTCTCTCTCTCTCTCTCGACAGAGGAATGTGCTCAGCTTGGGTTTTTGTATTATTATTACCCATGGCGCGCGACCTTTTGCTTTGTTTCGTTCGGAAGACGCGAGCCGAGCACCTCGGCAGTGATTTATATAATATTATATTCGTCGCCCGGCGCGATAAAACTTACGCGCAAAATTGTTGTCGACAGCTATTTCAAATCGTCTTTGTTCAAAGAGCTCGATGATATTTCGAAGAGTAAATAAAAAATAGCGTAACGCGTTTTGACAAAAATCGCGACTATATAAGTGCATTTTCTCCGCGCATCTTTTGGCAAAAATTCCATTGTTTATAAATTTACACTGCGCGCGACCAAGCGGGGTTGCAGTCTTCCTCGCGCGCGCGCAACTCAATGGTCATTGGCATTTTTCTCTCTGAGTCATAATAAACAAATATTTTGAGCCTCGAAGACGGCGAGTATAATTCTTTATGAATCTAAAAATTACTGATCTATTTATTTTGAGACGAGCGCAAATAAAGTAGAGTCGCAAGCTCGCGTGCGCACGTACGTAAGGTCCGTCTGCGGTTTATTAAATATTACTGGTCACGATAATATATAGAGATCGAGGATATTTATAATTATATAATTATCTCCAATTAAGAACGGAGCAACGAAGAAAATAAGTCACGTGCGGAGATCGGTTCAACGATATTTCCTTCCGATGTTTTGAAACTATAAATTCCGATGAAGAAATTGACGTTGACTTTTTTGTTTTTCGGCCAATGACGTCAAACTCGTGGCGGGCTTCGCACGGGAGATTCTTCCATGCTGATGCAAAGCGTGAAAATATTTCGATTATACATGTGAAAATGTCAAACCGTTTCAAGCAGTATCTTTGACCTAATAAGTACTACACGAGCTTCTAGTGAAAGTCAACTCGAAAGTCATCGTTGTTGATTCGATGATTGATAAGAACGAAAATAAATTCCGACTAATCCGAAATAAGTTCCAATGTTTACTAGCTTCAACCTGTACATGTAGAATCAGCTTGAGCTTGCAACAACAACAAACGCATGTTATTCAACATAATCGTGTACACAGAAAAAGTGAATCACGACGCAAAATTTGCATGAATGAACGAACAGCTAACGCACGATATATATACAACGACACATTGCGTCCGCAAGTTATATTGGCAACGAGCGCGAGCTTTAGCGCGTACGTTCGAAAAGCTATCGCGAAAGCGCGGAAATGCATTTTCAAAGTGTATAAGGCAAGTATGGCGGTGGTGGGGCTTGCGAGCGGACGCGGAAAATGCGCGGAGTAGGAGACAGCCGAGCTTTTTTGAGCTTACCACGTATAAAAGAAACCGGTACGACTCCAGCGTGATTCATTCGCAAGTAGTCGGCTTGGCAAAGAGCGCGAGCTTGATAACTCGACGTATAGTTTTTCGAACATTTTTTTTATTTCGGCTAAAGTATTTTCTTTTTTTTTTCTTGGTTGAACGATTTTTACTCAAGTGCGAGTTGCGAGAGAAGTTTCAGTGAGTTCGAGGTTGTTTGAGATTGATTTGAAAAAAAGACAAGAGAAAAAGAAGATTTTACACGATGTCATCCGTAATGATGGTGAGTACTTACTTTTTTTGTTTATACTTTTTAATAATTCAAATTTTCATATACGTTCCTTCATAATCGAATCTTATTTAACTCCTTGAATAATGATATCTAACTATATTTTTTGGTTAGCTTATATTTTTATAAATAATAACCAACAAGTCAAAACAAAAGTTAATTTTTGGTCTCTCGAGCACAAACATTTTTATTAAGTTCGTATAATTTAGCAAGCATATTTTGGCAGATGTACACTTGCACATTAATACTCAAGAGTATACATTAATTTCCTGTTCCATTCATAACGACAACAGTACACGATTAATGTAACGCAAAATTGACTTATTCATCTCGAAATTTTCTGAAAAAACCCAATACCCTCAAAACGAGACAAAGCCCTTTTCCATTTTTGCTAAATCGAAGCTGAATTAATTTAAACGCGATCACGCGCGGTTCGAATGCGCGAGCTTTTTCTTCTGGCACGTCACGTTGTCGTCGTCGCCGTAGACGCGCAATTCTTTCGCTCATATGGACAGGGCCACGGTCGGGCGAGCGTCTATCAGGATTTTCGCCAAAAATCTCTCGTCTATTTGTCATCTTTATTGATGTTGAAAAGTGTCCCGGGCGTGTTCGGACAGCGATTCCCGTGTCGCTTGTGTATATTTTTGAGCGTCTCTCGGCGGTATATGTATACGAGCGAGCTTTTCGACGTCACCTGTTGAGCCGCGCGAGATCTGCGCGTCGGTCGCGCTATCGCTCGAATTTTCAGCGATTTTCGATACTTCCGATTTTGTGTTCATATGCTTGCGTCGGCAAACTTTGATTGCGTAATTACTAACTAAACAGTAACTATGTAAGAAGTTACTGCTTCTTTTTGGCTGTGATTTTCAGAATGCAAAAAGTAATAAAAATTTATGCATAATTATCTTCATTACGTAAACCGTGGCAATCTGTAGGTTTGGACTTTTTAAAATTAATTTTTATTTTGCAAATATAATTTTATAATTATATTCCAATTGTAAAATCCTTATACAAAAACGAGAGCAAAGGATTGAAAATGACGTTGGAAGAGATTTTGAAAAAAGATATAAGCAGCGGAATTTGCTGATAAGCAACAAAAAAAAATCGGTTACCGATTGACTAGCGGACAGTCAATGCTCGTACATGTCACTCCGACTACGACAGATACACGAATGTATAATATGCACCCGAGCATATAGAGACATATTGCGTCGACAAGAGGGATTAGAAGCCCTCCCGACCGCCGGCGGGTTGATGTCATCACCCGCAAGCTCGCATTATAGCCGCGCGAAGTGTTTAGCACAGTCGTTTAACTGCAGTGTCACTTCGCACGCGAGCAAAGCTCGAGAAAGTGACAGATACACAGAGACCGAGACGCGCGCGCGACTCTCAATCGTGCATATCATATACGGACATATACAAAACGAGATTCGGTTGACAATGTTGAACGAGGTATACTAATTGCGAGAACAGTACGATAATTGAGGTGATTGGCCATGATCAGCTGTTGAATTTTATTTTGGTTTATTTGTTTATCAGGAATCATTGAACGACAAAGTGGCCATGTTCGATCAGCACGCCAACAAACACATCTCCGGCCAGAAGAAGAATCCCTTCACCTCGGGTCTGAACTTGCCAAAACCAACATTCTCCAAGGAGGAGTACGGAAGGTGAGCTTTTACATTCCTCGTATAGTCGACTTATATAGCCGAGAAAAGCTTCTTAAAAGCTTTTTAAGGTCGCGTTCGAGCCTATAAGACGTGGCTTGCGCAACGCGCACGAGACTTTTTAACAATAATAATCAATTTTTCAATTGTTGTTTTTGTTGTGGGGCGCTTTTAGGCCGGCCGCCGGTTCGCTGTCGGACATACGCGGCCGCAAAGCCTCGTGTCACATTCTCAAAGAGATTCTCGAGCTGTGCGACGTCATCAATCAGAACGGCACACCTTGCAAAGACGCGCCCGAGATACTCGCCATCTCGTTCGGCGATCTCTTCAATCTCTACGTGCACATCAACGACAAGCTCGTGGGTCTGCTGCTGCGGGCCCGCAAACAGAAGGTCCTCGACTTCGAGGGCGAGTGCCTCTTTCAGGTAAGATATCGATTGATTTCCGATCTTAATTGCTGTCAGCGATAATTTTTTTAAGAGTAGTTAATACGGTCCATCGAATGTCTACAATAAGTTATAATGACTCTTTAAGTTTTTTTTTTTTTTTGTAAAACCGTTTACTCGAATATCATTGCTGAAGATGCGAATCGGATCTCATGACTGCTATACGCAAAGAGCATAACACAAGTCGGTGTAACGTCACTGAATAGTTGGCACGGCTAAGAGGTTTTAATTTTAGACATAGTTGCTTTTATATAAGAAAAAGATAGCTACTTACAATGCTCAAACTGCTCGACATCGACGATTCACGAGAGTATACGAGCTCTTCGAAAATCATTAATTTTTTTTTTCGTTCGTCTTCTCGTTACAGAGGCGGGACGATCACGTGCCTATCTACCTGATAAAACCCATCAACGAGATCAGGACGACCATACGACAGAAGCTCGACGACATGAACAAAGAAATTCCCAAGACGCCTTGAAGCTCAGTATTTTCTCGTCTTCCATTTTATTTATTTATGCTAAGACACTTCCGTTGGATTTTTCAATAAAACCCGCATGCTGCTTGTACGTCGCGAAAGAACAGCTGATGTTGGGCTACTCGTGGGCAGCTGTCAATGCCAGTACATATAAATCAAAACCCGATCGCCGAATAAAAATGTAAATTGTATCTTGTAAATATTGAGAATGCGTAAATGGCTGTGAGCGTGGAAGCGAGCGCGTGTGAAAAAGTGAGACTGTGATGGATGCGTTTGAATGTCTAAAATAGGATATATTTTTTTCGAATGACCGAGTTAGAATAGTTGTACAAAACGTTGGAGGAATTTAGTAGAGAACTCTTTTTTTATAAATATATCATGAATAGTATGTTAGCGAAATCAATATTATAAAATTAAATTCAAATATATGGTGTTAGACATTTTTAAAAATTTCAGAAAATAAAAATGTTATCATAATACAATTGATTCTTATTATTTCCCTATCTACAAAGTAGCCATAAATGAATATTACTAGAGAAACTCAAATGTCATTACGCAAAAATTGCAGAAGACGGCCTGTGACATTAGATTGGAGATGCAAAAATCATGAACATAGCGAAGTAGGGCGCAGTGATGTTTATACATAAATTCTATAGGATTCCGGCAATGATGACAATAATACACAGACTACAATAGGTGGAGCCTTGGTGATCTCTATATTAACGTTTTTTCCGCGAAAATCATGATTATTTGCAACTGGTATGCCAAGAGGACAGATTTGTAGTTTGAAATTTCGAGGTCATGTGCGACCTTGGTAAAGACATGTGCGCAAATACGTCGAAGAAGTACCTGCTAATATCACCACCCATTAGATTCATTGGTCACGTGTTTGAAACATGTAGAAGCACCGATTTCTTCTTCTACAAACGCGAACTTTTACACAGTCAAATATTTCGTTGACTCGATTCGCGCTCTCCAGTTGAAACGATCTTACCTTTTTATTTAGGTTTCTTATTAATTGAACCGATACGACTCGGGGGCAATTATAGCATTGTAAGGACTGGTTTCAAACGTTAAACAATCAAAAATTTATAAACGAAAGATGTAAAAAAGTCGACTAATAATTCACCACAATTGTGCAAAATTATCACACTCAAAGAACAGCCGCGAAATGTGGTACTTTTCAATGGAAATTTTAGAAGTGGTTGTTTTCGCTGTCATTTTGGGATCAATTGTTTTCTTTAATGTCAGCAAAATGTGAAAATATTGAATTACGATACATAAAATCTGAAAATGCACGTCGCTCCCTATTCAATATTGTGTATGCTACAGTTTATTTTATTAATGATCACATAATCATTTTTCATTAGAATAATCCTGAATATATATTTTAAAACAACTGTGATCCAGTGTAGGATGTCAATTTCTGGATTGAGAAAAGAGTTTTAAAAAAGTATAAACGCTGATCTCAAACAAAAGTATATATTTTTTTAATTCTTATGAATTATGGCCTGTTGTACTTGCATTAGGACCCACTTTACACGATAATATTAAGTAATTCGTTTTTTTTAATTTTATTTGTTAATGATAATTATTTTAAATATAAAATTATGATAAGTACGTATATCGAATTAAGATCTATGATTTATAACTGCTTCAAAAACAGATACTAAATCTACAGTGTCTAAAAAACGGATGATTTTATCACAACACAAATCGGGTAAAATATTATGAGTTAAAAGTTTTATCGAGTCAGATGTCACTTGTGCTATCAATCTTCTTACTAAAGCTTTGCTAATGTATCCTTCTATAATTCTTCGAATTTTTCCCAATTTGCAAAAGTCGCTCGCGAAACTAGATGACTCAATATTATTTAAGTTTATTGTTGATTCATAATCACACTTTATCAATAACCTGTACGTTTCATCTGGACCACAAGTGCAAAGATCCAAAAATGAAATATTATTGCCTATGATCATCTCTTTTGCTATATCAATTTGTTCTCGAAGGTCTTTGTATTCTCTGTCTCTATATGCTTTATAATTTTCATCAGTTTCTGGCTTCTCTGAAACAAGTGTATCCAACTTCTCTCCCAAATAGTTATAGGTTTCAATGTCTATGTACATATTTCCATATTTTGTCACATGAAGATATTGTTTGATGATTTTGTATAAACTCATTTTTAGCTGGGTGCTATTAAAATTGGTGCAATTTGAACTATCATCAATTGCGAGAATCATTGTTTCAAGAAATTTTCGAATCACAGATCCAGAACCTAAATAAAAAACAAATATAAACATATAGCTTTAATGTCAAAAAAGTTGCTGAGCATAAACTATATTCGGACTGTATTATTTTAAAATATTCATCATTTATTATTTAGTTTAGTATATTAATGAATAATTATAAAAAATTTGTGCATGCATGTTGTGAACAACGCGAAGTAAGATCTCACCTAATTCATAAACATGCCTCCAGCACGGTTCATGAAGGTTAACCTGTTTAATCCATCTATCAAATAATAATAAAAAACGTTCGTCGTTAGTTGGCAAATTCTCACATAACGTCAAATATTTAAATAGTGTTAAATACTGATGGGATTTGATTTTGAAATCTTTGTTCTGCAAAAGTTCGATAATATCTAGGAGGTTTAAAAGTGTCGCTAGGTTTAAGGATGGGAACACTTTATTTTCCAAAAATCCACCTTTGAATTTGACTGTATTAACGTCAGCTCCACGTTCCACAAGAAATTTAGCTATGCGGTAATTACAGTGTGACACCGCCTCATTTAGCGGAGTAAATCCATCTCGATCTTTGATATTGACATCCAATCCATGTTTTAAAAGTATTTCAATACAACGATACACGTGTGACCATGCATATTCCAATCTATCGACTTCACTATTGTGATCTTTACTATTGTGATGAAAATAAAATAAGCTTACTTTTATAATTAGTGAGTGCAATACGGTTTTGCCATCACCACCGACGTGAGAAAGATCTGCATTCTTTTCGACATTCAGTTCTAGTATTTTCAAAAATGGATATCTTTCTGAATGAGTCGGATGCTTTAGACAGCAAACGCAGTCTGCACGTTCACAAAAACGTTCAAAAGTATAATTCAAGGGTATGTTGCCATCGACATCAACGATATTTGGATCGGCTCCGTTCTTGAATAAAAATTTAATATGTTCGATTCTTGAACGATCAATTGCATTATGCAGTGGAGAACGACCTTTTTTATCTTGTATATTTACATTCACTCCATCATTCAATAGACGTTGAATTGCTTTTGCGATTCCCGAGGATTGCCCATACGGATCACGTTTACTTGTATTATGCAACATCATAAATCTGCCAAGTACATATACACTTTCGCAATCGGCCCCGTTTTTTAGTAGCAATCGAAAAGCTTTCAGGCGCAATCTTAATTCGCTAACCAAACAATTACCCCGCTTAAATAAGTTTTGTATCGGCATGTTGTAGAAATCATCCTCTGCATTTACGTCGGCGTTGTATTGGATAAAAAGTTTAATCATTTTCAAGTGGACCATTTTCAAGACAGGTTCACGGGTAATGAAATTCAGAGCTGTCCTGCCACAGACAGCAGCGTTTGGATCGGCGCCATTTTTCAAAAGTAGTTCAACCACTTTGTGACTTTCACAAAAAAAAACGGCCCCATGAAGTGCGGAAAAACCATCTTTATTCTGAATATTTACATCAACTCCCCTTTTTAATAACAATTCCACTGCTTCGAAAATATTTTGATTAATCTTTGGATTCCAAAGGATCAAGTGTAATATTGTATTACCATCGTGGTTGACAAGTTTAACATCGGCTCCGTTTTTCAGTAATAAGTGAAATGTATTGAAACGTAACTTATAATCTTCCGCATTAGTATATAAAGTCATCATAGGACTGAAGCCTTCTTTATTTGCAATATTAACATCAGCTCTGTATTGGATAAGAAGTTGAATCATTTTTAAATGAACATTTTTTAATGTAGGTTGGGCACAAATGTCATTCAGAGCCGTCAAGCCATTGTCAAAAATCTTATTTGGATCGGCGCCATTTTTCAAAAGTAGTTCAACCACTTTGAGACTTTCATAAAATCCAACGGCCCGATGAAGTGCGGAAAAACCATCTTTATTCTGAATATTTACATCAACTCCCCTTTTTAACAACAATTCCACTGCTTCTACAATATTTGGATTCTCGTTATTGCAAAGGATCAAGTGTAATATTGTATTACCATCGTGGTTGACAAGTTTAACATCGGCTCCGTTTTTCAGTAATAAGAGGAATATTTTAAAGCGTAACGTGTAATTTTTAGCATTATTATATAAAGTCATCATAGGACTGAAGCCTCTTTTACTTGCAATATTAACATCAGCTTTGTGTTGGATAAGAAGTTGAATCATTTTGAAATCAACAACTTTCACAGTGGGTTGTGCACAGATGTAATTTAGAGCTGTCCAGTCATCATTATCAACTACATTTGGTTCAGCTCCATTTTTCAATAATGATTCTATCGAATCTAAATCTCTTGATTCAACGGCGTCGCGTAGGGATTTTATTGCACTATTATTGGATTGAGACATTGTACACTACATTAGTTTTTTAGCAGAAACACTTTAATGAATTATTAGCACTGAGATGTTTCTAATATACTATGAGACACTATGATTTAGTCTCACTATTTAATGAATTTTCGTTTTATTTATCAGCCCGTCTATTCGTTTTGTGTAAACTTTGTGAATTTCGAGAGTTTCTTTATTTACATCATCATACTGTCGTTACTTATAGTTATACGGGTTATATACACGTCGTCTTTACATCAATATCAAATTAACTTTGATATGGGTAATACAATTCGTTGAAATATTTCAATTAATAATAATACAATAATGAAGATGACGTATTTTCTATCGTTAACGTTCTCGATGACATAAAATATGTAAATAAACAATCATTTACCTTTTTCTGTTTCGTAATTTTTCGATTTGTATATTTTTCAAGGTACCTATTGCAAGACTTTGCGAGTCTTTCCTCGTAGCTTGAATTTAATTTTATAATACTCACAAATCAATCGTATAATTTCAGAGTTAGCAATGGAAATAAAACAAATTTTTATTGAATGATAAATATTTTTCTATTAATGATTTTTAATTACAAAATAATAAAAAATTAAAAGAATAATTCCATGTAGTACAAAACGCGTTGAGAAGAAGCTTGTTCAAGTACTATGTTTTTCTTTCAAAAAAACTTCGGCAACATTAAAAAGTATCGTTATGATTCCCAATTCGTCGATAAGTTAGGATTCGAGTGAATTTTACTGCCAGCAAAGTAGATAAGTTATAAAACTCGGACAAAATCGGGGAAAACATTAGCGTCTAGGATTTAAAAAAAAGTAACGAATTATTTTTTGAAGATATATGTAGTTTACACAATAATGTTAAGTAATTCATTGTATTTATTTTACTCGTTGATTACAATTATCTTTGATATATAACTAATATAAATATATGTACATCAAATTAAGATGTATCATTTATAACTGCTTTAAAACTAGTGTCTAAAAAATGGATGATTTTATCATAACATAAATCGGGTAAAATATCACGAGTTAAAAGTTTTTTAACACTGCGTGCGCGAAACACGGGTTTTCTAACCTTAAAGCGTCAGAAAACCCTAGTTTCTCGCAAGCAGAGTTAAAAAATATCGTTTGCAACTAGTCCGCGAGGAAGTTGACTCACCCAGGAGTCTTTGCACCCTCGCTACGCTCGGGTGAAAACAACTCCTGGGTGAGTCAACTGCTTCGCGCACTTGTTACAAAATATACTATAATCGAGTTAGAGGTCACTTGTGTTTTCAGTCTCTTTACTAAAGCTTCGTTAATGTATCCTTTTATTATTCGTCCCATATTTCCAAAACCGTCAAAGTCTTCTCTGAAACGGATTGACTCAATATTATTTGGGTATATTGCTGATTCATAATCACATTTTATTGATAAGCTTTAAGTTTCATCTGGACCAGAATTGCAAAGATCCAGAAATGAAATATTATTGCCTATGATCATCTCTTTTCCTAAATCAACAATCAGTTTCTGGATTCTCTTCTCGTTATTTTGAAAACTCACACAACACGTCAAATATTTAAGTAGTGTTAAATACACAAAATTAGTCATTTCAAAACCATTGCCTTGCAAAAGTTTGTTAATAGCTATCTGTTAATTGTCGTCTTTAGATTTAAGGATTCGAACATTACATTTTAAAATCTACCTTTGAATTGAACAGTATTAACGTCAGTTTTTTGTTCCACAATAAATTTGGCCATGCGGTAATTACAGTGTGACACGGCCTCATTTAGCGGAGTAAATCCATCTCGATCTTTGACATTGACATCCAATCCATGTTTTAAAAGTATTTCAATATACTGATACACGTATTCCCATACATTTTCCAATTTATCGTCATTATTATTGGGATGAAAATAATATGAGCTTACTTTTATAATTAGTGAGTGCAATACGGGTTTGCCATTACCACCTACACAAGAACGACCAACAACAATTCTTTCTGTAATTGAATTCCTTTTGTGATTCAAGAATTGCTTTTTTCATTTTTGGATTATTTTTGTTCTGAAGCATAAAGTGTAATATTGTTTTACCCTCATTGTTGACAGACATAACATCGGCTCCGTTTTTCAGGAGTAAGCTGAGAACTTTCAAGTGTAATTTGTTATCATTCGCATGATGGTATAAGGTCATAATAGGACTGTTACCGTCATCATTTGGGATATTCACATCGGCTTCGTATTGGATAAGAAGTTGAATCATTTTTAAATCAACCTTTTTCAAAGTAGGTTGGGCACAAATGTCATTCAGAGCCGTCCAGCCATTATCATCAATCATATTTGGATCGGCGCCATTTTTCAGAAGTAGTTCAACCACTTTGAGACTTTCATAAAATCCAACCGCACGATGAAGTGCAGACTGACCTTTTTTATTTTGGATATTTACATCTAATCCATATTTTAACGACAATTCCACTGCTTCTACAATATTTGGATTATCTTGATTGGAAAGGATATTGTGTAATATTGTATTACCAGCATTGTCGACACATGTTACATCGGCTCCGGCTTCCAGTAGTAACTTGAAAATTTCCAAGCGTAAGTTGTAATCTTTCACATCACGATATAAGGTCCTTATAGGACTCTTACCATACAAATTTTGGATATTAACATCAGCTTTGTACTGAATAAGAAGTTGAATCATTTTAAAATCAACATCTTTCAAACGAGATTGTGCACAGATGTAATTCAGAGCTGTCCAGCCTTCATTATCAACTGTGTTTGGGTCGGTATTTTTTTTCAAAAGTAGTTCAACTACTTTTATACGTTCAGAGAACCATGACGCAAGATGAAGTGCAGACTGACCATTTATATTCTGAATATTCGCAATATCTCCATGTTTCAACAATAAATTCACTGCTTCTACAATATTTGGATAATTTCCCCAGTGAACGATAATATGTAGTATTGTATTACCTTCTTGGTTGACACGTGTGATATCTGCGTTATTTTCTAATAGTAACTTGAAAACTTCCAACCGCCATTTGTAATAACCGCCATTTGTATATAATGTCATAATAGGACTGTTACCGTCCTCATTTGGGATATTCACGTCGGATTTATATTGGAGTAGAAGTTGGATCATTTTTAAATCAACGTCATTCAAAGTAGTTCGTGCACAAATGAAATTCAGAGCTGTCTGGTCTCTGTTGTCAACCGTATTTGGATCAGCACCATTTTTCAAAAGTAGTTCAATCACTTCTAAATTTCGAGTAAATCTTACTGCAAAATGAAGTGCAGATTGACCCCATTCATTTTTGATATTCAAATCGATTCCATACTTCAACAACAATGGCACTGCTTTTAGAATCCTTGAATTCTTTTCACGGTAAATGATGGAGTGTAATACTGTGTTACCAGCTCTGTCAACACATGCAACGTCGGCTCCATTTTCTAGTAGTAACTTTAAAACCTCCAAGCGATATTCGCAATCTTCCACATTACGATATAAGGCAAGTATAGGACTCTCATGATACTTATTTTGGATATTAACGTCTGTTGTGTATTTGATAAGAAGTTGAATTAATTTTAAATCGATATATTTCAAATAAGGTAGTCCACAAATGACATCCAGAGCTGTAAAGCCATAATTATCAACCGCATTTGGGTCGACGCCATTTCTCAAAAGTAGTTCAACCAATTCTACATTTCGAGAGAATTCTACCGCAACATGAAGTACAGATTGACGATTTTCATTTTGGATATTTACATCAACTCCCCTTTTCAATAACAATTTCACTGCTTCTACAATATTTGGATTCTCTTTATTGCAAAGGATCAAGTGTAATATTGTATTACCTTCTTTGTTGACACGTATGACATTTGCGTTATTTTTTAGTAATAAATAGAAAACTTCAAAGCGTAAGTTGTAATCTTTCACATTAAGATATAAGGACATTAAAGGACTATCACCATACACATTTTGGATATTCACGTCGGCTTTGTATTGGATAAGAAGTTGAATCATTTTTAAATCAACCTTTTTCAAACTAGATTGTGCACAAATGATATTCAGAGCTGTCCAGCCATCATTATCAACTGCATTTGGGTCGGTGTTTTTTTTCAAAAGTAGTTCAACCACTTTTATACATTCGGAGTACAATGACGCAAGATGAAGTGCAGACTGACCATTTATATTCTGAATATTCACAATATCTCCATGTTTCAACAATAATTCCACTGCTTCTACAATATTTGGATTCTTTTCATTGCAAAGGATCAAGTGTAATACTGTGTTGCCAGCTCTGTCAACACATGTAACGTCGGCTCCCTTTTCTAGTAGTAACTTTAAAACTTCGAAGCGTAATTCGAAATCTTTCGATTCACGATACAAAATAATTGTAGGACTGTCACCATACTCATTTTGGATATTAATGTCGGCTTTATACTGGATAAGAATTTGAATCATTTTGAAATGGGTCATCGTCAAGTTATCTTGATAACAGATATAATGAAGAGCTGTCCAGCCATCATTATCAACTACATTCGGATCAGCACCATTTTTCAATAATGATTCTATCAAATCTAAATCTCTTGATTCAACGGCATCGCGTAGGGATTTTATTGCACTATCATTGGATAGAGACATTGTACAATACTTTCGTTTTTTTAGCAGAAATACTTTAATAAATTATTAGCACTGAGCCGTTTTTAATACAGCAGAAAACTGTGATTTAGTCACACTATTCAATGAATTGCCGATCTGTCTGTCATCCCCTCTACTCATTTTGCGTATACTTTGTTGATTTCTAGAGTTTCCTTACTTATATCATCATACTGTAGTTACTTAATTATAGGGGTATATATATATACGTGTCACCTTTATGTAAATATACGATTATGTTGTAATTGTTTGGTATTGTTAATACAGGGTGTGACAATTCGTTGAAATATTTAAAATAATAATCCAATGATAAAGGTGATGTATTTTCTATCTTTAAAGTTCTTGATGGTACAAAATGTATGAATAAACAATCATTTACCTTTTTCCCGTTCCATAATTTTTTCATTTGTAACTTGAATTTAATTTAATAATACTTTCAAATCATTAATATAATTTCAGAGTTAGCAATGGGATTAAAGCAAAACTGAGTGATTACAAAGTATCATTGAAAGAAACACATCAGGTATCTCATTTTTAATGAATAGTGAATAGTTTTTATTAATGAAATTTTATTAATGAAATTTAATTATGAAAAATTAGAAGAATAATTCTTTGTAGCACAAAGAGAAAAAGCTAGTATAAGTACTATGTTTATCATTCAAAATAACTTCGACAGCATTAAAAAGTATGGTTTTGATTCACATTTCGTCGATAAGTTAGCAATCGAGTGAATTTTACTGCTGGCAAAGAAGATAAGTTATACAACTCGGACAAAATCGGGAAAAAAAAAGCGTCTAGGAATTCAAAAATAGCAACGAATTATTTTTTGAAGATATCGCACATAATTTTATTTTATATATTTACATACAATTTCTTTACAACGCGCATTTCATTGTGACTCAGTAAATTTTAATCTTTTATCAAAGGATGGTACAGTGCGTTTCATAATCTTGTGTAGATAGCTTGGATACAGAACTTCTTTCGTACAATTCACGCACATGTAATTATAATTCAATAGTAAATAACTTTTACTATAACTAAGGTTCAATCGAATTTTTTTGTCTCAAAAAATCATCAATTTATTGATAAGATATGCTTTTCAAGCATATGATTGTTTTATCCATAAATTATATTTAATACATACGAATTGATATGTTTTAACTTTTTAACTAGAAACAGTCATACTCTTTCATGAACTATTCAAGTCAATTGATTTCTCATCCTAATATGAATGATTGTTAAGAAAAAGATATGTTTTAATAGTCCATTGATGTGTCCAATTCTTTCGTACACATAAAATTCAAAAGAAAAATTTGAACCAACTATTTCAAATAGAATAAATATACTAATAATACAATAGTATATAGAGGTACTTGATTATATTTAAATAAAAAATTATAAATAGCTTAATAAAAATATCGTAAATCTCAAATTACCACCATTTCGCACGTGTATATGAAAATTATCTTAGTTTCTATGCTGTACATCGCATCGTTACAACATATTCGTTATCTTCATCTTTTCAAAAATGTATGCGAGTATGTTAGCAACTTTTCATCTTCAGTTGCAATAAATAAAGTATAGGCCCATGAATACGCATTTTTTCTGAATGGTTGACATTTACAATTTTATTGCGAACATTCCACAAATTGTGCAAACATCAAATACTCTGCTTGATTCAAAAAGATGATTTATGAACTAATTTAGTTGGTTTTTTTCCCCATTTTAGAAGCTGAATTAGGTCGAATATTCATATGTATAGAATAATATTTATATATAATATATATTTATATTCTCATCTTACGTATAATGATAATAATTTATTCTTTCGTTATAGTTTGCAATGATATTAAACAGTGTATAACTATGATATAATTAACTTAAAATCTTATACAAGTATTTACAATTGTTATTTTTCAGGAAACATGGCATGCTTTTCGGATTCGCAATTCACACTAGACTATATATCGTGTACATAAACGCGTTATTTAGCAGACAGAGCATAAAACAGCATTTTTTTCTACGTTCCACAAATATTTGTACAAGAGGTTTCAAGTGTGCGCAACGTACGTCTCACCGAATAAAAAAGAGCTTGGCAAAAATGCCAAACCATCGGAGATGTAATTTAGAAAAATTTCTAAACATCGTAACAATTTTCAACAGGTATAGTCAAGATATCAAAGTCTCGTACAGATATGTTTGTCATAATTGATCGACATAAATGAAGATCGTTGAAAAAGGGCAGTGCAGATCGATATGTATATCAAACGAATTTCCGAGTGGTAAGTATAAAAATCTCAATAAGCACGAATTTAACACACAGTGCGATTTACTTAAATAAAGTACAAAGTCTAATAATAAGTTGAAACTTCTCGTACAATGATTTTTATTTTGTCTAACTTTTGTCAGTTAACATTCATCGGATCATCACATGAGACAAATCTATATATTTTTATCGAGAATTGGTTTGCCTCCTCGTGGAATGTGATACCCTTGCAGGAGGGAGTGTCGGGGACTTGGGGTGCGTTTTTAGCACATCAAAAAGTTACTTATACTCGCCTACATATATATATATATAGTTTTACATCCACAATTTTCTAGTCATTGTTCGTACGTGTAGTGTATGTATATTGAAGTGAACATTGTGGCATTATAACTGCTTCCGAACATCGCGAGTTTACAAAAAGCTCTGACTAAACTAGGTCTTTATCGTCCTTTTCTTACAACCGGTATTTATTTATAAATTTCAATTTATATGGCATTTTACATTCACGCTTATGTTGTATTTAATTGTAATATATTTATTTCTATATATAAATTACAGCGTCTACTATTGGGCGAATCTATTTATGCACAAATATTTCTGTTAAATCTCTCTACTGAAACACTCAAACATAACATCGATTTACATTTTTTTCAGCGCGTTTGTTTTTCCCTCCTTGTACTACGAGAAGCTGTACTGTTATATTGCGTATTACTCTGTCTCCTTTACTAATCAGTCTCATACGTTTTCAATGAGCGTGGCAAAATTTTATTCCCACGCAACTGAAAAATTATTTCACTTCATCAAATCAATTGAATTTGGAATTTGTCGAGAAAAAAGCAAATAATATTATACTCGCTTCCTCTCTAACTTTCGTTTACACAGACTTACGTATACGCAATAAATTCGTAAGTACATCCTAGATTATTTCATATCTATTTCTTTTATATCATCGTTATAATAATTCTTTTTATTATTATTATTTATTTATATGTATTTATAACCCAACGCGCGCCCGCGTCGAGCGCGTGCGTCGGTTTTTTCATTCTCTTAAAAATATAAATTATTGTCCTTCGATGAGAACGTAGCACTTGAACTTTTTTTATTTTCTTTCACCTTTTAACTTCCACAAGCACGTCAAGCCGCGCAACGATTTCTATATAGGTGAAATTCCTTAAACTAATTCAGTTTTCATCGCACATATAATAAATTACTTATATAGAGCTCGGAAGTGTTTATCTTTTTCTCATTTTCAGCTGTGTTATGAAATGTCGTGACTTTCTTTCGCAGCGCTTTTTTATACTTATAATGTATACTAGGGTTTAATGGAAAGCTCATCGTCGGCGCACTCAATGCTGTCGTTGAAACTCAAGTAAAAATCTATAATATCGATTCAACACGCGTATGCATAATATAGTTACACGTGTTGAATTCTCGTAAAATTACACGCAATACAGCTAAATATTTACAATAAACGCACAAGTGAAAAATCAAGATTTTATAACTAGAGAGGCGCTACGCGTGTCAGCGACATCTCACAACAGCGCGTGTTTGTATACACATGACGAGGGGAAGGATCTCTCTCTCTCTCTCTCTGTCTGTTGCTGGGACGAGGATTATCGGCGGCGCACGTCGTTATCGTGACAGAGCTCGATTTTTCGTCTGGACAGATGCAGGCTGCGCTTGTCAGCGACGAAGTTGCGCATGCAGCCTTTGACTCCGCGATGGCCGGGCCGGCCGCCGACGAACAGTCGGCCGTTGGTGACGAGCGGCCCGGTGTCGATCATCTGCTTGATGGGTATTTGATCGTCGATGTGCAGGACGGTCGAGCGACGCCGACGCACCGCCCGTATATGATGGAAGTAGCCGTCGTCGACTCTTTCCTAAAAATTGCACAGGGAGAGAGGAGGGAAAAATAGAGATTTTTTTTTCAATTTTCTGTTTTTTTTCTCTCGTTTTTTTTTAAATATAAGTTAGCGAAGCTGTTGTGTACTTACGTTACTGCGGAGAATAAATTGTTCCCTCCTGTCACGATAGGACAGCACGACGTAACCCTCGTGGAGAGATAACATCATGTGCTCCAATTTGCCGCGGCCGACCCATGCGATAACACCTTCCGAATGGGTCGTCCTCAATCTCAATTCAAATTTATTCGATTCTTGTCCCTTTCCCCTGAAAAGTTGTCATTATAATTTAGTTCATGTGGGTATGCACTGAAAATTGATAATAACTTTCACCGGCTGGTCTATCATTACATTGCCGCGCACACCGACATAGTATATTCCACGAACTTTTGTTCTAATTAAAAGTTACAGATGATACAGGCAAGTACGATTAAGACAGGTTTGGAAATATTTATACACGCTTCTCGTAAAATATAAATCGAAAAGCTTGTCTCAAAACCTTTGCTCTGCCTCGAAGCACGTTCGTAGGCAAATATTTTCTCGAAAATATTCCAAATGCAATTAATACAGAAATGTACGGCCTATCGTTAAAACAAGAATCTATGTAACTCAACGAACCAGCTCGGTGATATTGCATTGTTTAAAAAAAAAAAGACTTCGTTTAATATTCGATGTACAAAAGCGGAAGTGCGCTGTTGGAGAGAAAGAGAAACGGGAATTCGTGAATTCTCAAACGTAAAAGTACAGGCTTGATTGTTGGAGACAAAGGAAAAAATCAATGCAGCAAGCAAAGGATAAAAAATAACGAACAGTTATATGAAAATACATAATAGATTAGGACATGAGAATCTGCACTACAGGTACAGACTTACTCACTATAGTCGTAATTATCATAATCGTCGTAGGCGTCGTCCTCCGTGTCGTAGTCGATTTCCGACTCGTCCAACGAGTCATCGACGACGAGATTAGTGGTGTTAGTGACGTTGAGACTGGATATATTGCAGAGGTTGAAAAGTTAGTATGTTATTTTTTTTTGTTATTTGCTCGTGCGCGCTTAGGGCGAATTAGTAAATGCAGGCTTCGTGTTATGCGTATTATATCTAAAAGTAGGCTTTCAGCGCGGGGTAGAATATTGAATTACCGGTTAGTTGGGAAATTTAAACTGCGCACGCTCTCGTTGCATTATGCGGAATTAAAGTGGATATGTTTTATGAACGCAGGGAGCATCAATTACGAATGAATAATTTGAATATTTTTAAAGCGATATTTAATATTGACCATTCAATGAAATTATTATGTATAGATATAAATCTGTACATTGCATTATGAGTAGTTAGTAAGCTTTAATTTGTATACATAAACATTTATGCGCTGGACTGATATATCTGTATATGCGTATTATATATTATAATTCAAAAGCATAAAGTGGTCAATTAGGGAACTTTCATCGTCTACTTTAACTATGCTTTTAATGTATAGATATACAGAGATGTATTCGAATTTAATTTTTAAGTCATTTATCAATTGAATAAAAGGGGGTATGCGATGCGTTTATGCACGTAATTCGAATGTATTACGATATAATATATATTTCCACGTACCTTCGTCCATATCGATGCTTGAACTGCAAAAAGTTTTCCCCGGTAAATCTTACCGCCGGTTCGACGACTTCCCTCCCCGTGAAATCGTAACCCATGACTGCAAAAAGTAAAAGAACATATTTTTTCTCAATCGTTCGCTCTTTTCTTTTTAACAAGATCTCTTGAGAAAGTATGAACATACAGAATTCGCAATTGATGCCGTCGTAGCCCTTGGCGCATTTGCAGAAGAAGCTGTTGAGCAGCGGGAAGCAGACGCCGTTATTTCGGCAGGGATTCGAGTCGCTCGGGCAGGGCAGACCGTCGTAGATCTCGGTGTTGTGCTGTGTGAAGTTCACCGCGAGATTCTGGTAGGTCTTGTCGTTGACCATCAATCGCTGCACGGCGCCGAACATGCCGGTCGAGGCCTCGGCCAGCGGGTGCACCTCGTGCCAGTGTCGCACCCCACCGATATAGAGCGGCATCTCGAGATTCAGCTCGGTCAGAGGCGAGCCGGAGAAGCCGCGCGCCACGGTGCCGTTGTCGAGTCGAAGCAGGCCCTCTCGGCCGAGTCGCGATATCCGGACGCTGTGCCAGGTATCGAGGCTGACCGGATCGGGCGACGTGATGTTGGCGATGCCGCTGCCGAGATTGTAGCGGAACTCGAGCAAGCCGTCGACGAGATTGAGACTGATGAAGTCGCCGCGGCCGTTCGCGAGCTGGCCGTTGTAAAGCAGCAGGCCGTCGGTGGCCCGGGTGAGGAACCAGAGTTCAATGGAGAAGGTGCGCGCGACGCCCTCGAGACAGGGCAGCTCGAGGAAGCCGTCGCCGTGCATCTCCGGAATCATGAACTCGGTCAGCTCGGCGTCGAGTATCTCGCAGTGCTGGCCCGTGCGGCCGGGCGGACACTTGCAGAGGTAGCCGCCCTCGGGCAGTATGTCGCAGGTGGCGCTGTGATGGCAGGGCGCACTGTTGCACGGATCGAGGGACTTCTCACAATTCTTGCCGGTGTACTCGGGCGGACAGATGCACTGGTACTCAAGCTCGACGGCCTCGTAGCCCTGACGCTCGTAGCTGTCGTCGTAGTCGGCCAGTTGTTGATCGTCCTCCATCAAAGGATGATCGCAGCCGGGCTCCAAACACGGCCTTCTGCTCTCCTCGTTGTAGCTGTTGTTGTTGTTGTTGTTGCTATTGTTGTTGTTCAAATCGCATTGGCCACCCTTGCACTTGACGACGCTCATATTTTCCGGACCATTACTGGATCGGCGCTGCTTGCCTCCACGCCTGTTTCGTCGCTTCGAGCGTCTGCCGCCTGGTGCCAATAGACAGTCGTTGCCCCGGCAGTTGAGATCTTCCTCGAAGATCGGCTGGCAGGTGGCACCGTTCTGGCAGGGCAGATTGGCGCAGCCATTCTCGCGGCATTCCTTGATGCGATACGTCTCGAGGATGTCGCGATCGTAGCCCATGTGCAGATCGATCGGCTCGCGATTCACGCGAAGCTTGCGTATGCAGCCGAGGAAGCCGTGCGACGTACCGATGTTGTCGAACACTCTGTTATAAAGATTAATTTTTCATTAAATTTTTTTTACTCACAAAAAATAAGGATCGTGGTCGAAGATTCGACTCACTTGCTGTAGTTCGTGGGTATGTTGCCGATGTACGTGTCCTGATTCAAGTCGAGACTCTTCAACATTCCCTCGCTCTGTCCGGCCACCTCGTCGCCCTCGTTGAACTGCAGCACGCCGTCCTTGTGATACCTCTTGGCGGATATACGATGGAACTGCTTCATGGAGACTCGCTCGGCCGACGTCAGGATCACCGGTCCGTTGCCCAAATTGTATCTGAACTGGACGAATCCATCGACGATGGCCAACGACACGAAGTCTCCGGTACCGTCCACCTTCTGCTGATTGTACATGAGTATGCCGTTCTCCGCGTAGGTCTTGAACTCGACGTCGATGCTGATCTTGAAGTAGCCCTTCAACTTGTTCATGCGAACGTAGCTCTTGCCGTCGAACGAGGCGACCTCGTAGTCGCGCCGGTTCACTGGCTCGTCGCAGTGGAAGCCCAAGTAGTCCTCGTGACACTGGCACGTGTACGTCGAACCGGGTAGATCGATGCAGATGGATTTGGGATGGCAGGGCGAGGACGAGCAGGCGCGGAACTCCTCGGTCGGCAGCACGGGTGCGTTATCACCTGGAAAATTATCAGCATTTGTAATCGTACAAATTGACACTTGTAAATGGAATATCCATCTTGACTAAATGCGCCAAGTTCTTTTGCAGCGTCGACGATTTAGAAAAAAAACTTCGACGTTTTCTCAAGTACGTATATATACCCGCAATTCTCGAGGAGCAAAAGAGCGTTCACGCGTTTTAGGATTCAATAAAACGGCGAGTAACAAAATCTTTTGTCAGTTTTCCATCCTCCTTGGCGGCGCAGTTTTGCGGAAGGCAGTTTACAACCTCGAGCTGCGTTTGCATTATTAATTTTCCGGCTCGATAAACTTTTTTACATCTCGCTCTTGGAGAGAAGAACTCGAGCGCGAGCTCATATACCGACATCGTTAAACGAACATCCGCGCGCAACGAGAGCTTACGGCACCGCGCGGCCAGGGGAAAAAAAGGTATACTCCACGCCAGTAGCACGTGAAAATAATAACGAGAACACATTTGCCCTCTATATATAAGCCCGCGAGCGCCGCGTGTAACTTTACGAGCACCAGGCACGAGGAAATCCTCCGAGTGTATAGCTGTACGGGATCTTCATTGTTTACATTTTTCGCGTACGTTTACGCATGAATAATTCAAAATTTATAAAGTAAATAGCACATCCAATGATTAGACTCGATCTTATCATTCTCGTGTATTTAATCGTGTAACTTCAATTAAAAATATCATTTAATTTAATGATTAAACAAGTTATAAAACACATAATACAGGTTGTTAGAGTACGTACAACTACACAACTGGAAAATATATACGAGATAAATGGGTACTACACGAAAAAGACTTTTTCGTTAATTACAAGAATTACTTCGTGTAACGTTCAACAGTAATATATATCCTTGCCCCACAACAACAATAAAAAACTAACGTATATAACAATGTATTACGAAGAGATAACGAAGAGATTCCCAGCCTCGAACTTCATCATCTCGCGCTTACCTATGCTGGAACAGTCCTGCCTGTCGCTGGTCTCGACGTAGTCCGGTCCGCAGGCGCACCGGCTGTCTTTGCAGATGCTGCCGATGATCACGCAGTCCTTGTTCTCCGCGCAGTACTCGCCCAAAATCGGAGTCACGACGCGGATCGTCGCCGGTGTCGGTCGATAGGCCGCCGCTGAACCTAATTATAAGAAAAATTAGTTATACTTCGCAGTTTCTTATAACGCTGCCCGAGGCGTCATTAATTCGTACCTTGCTTGAGATTCTTACGGTCGACCGGTGGCGTCTCCTCGGATCCAGCGCGATTCGTGTAGTAGTAGCGCGCGTCGGGTTCCGGAACCATCAGGTGCTTGGTCGACTTAGACAGCGGGGAGATCGCCGCGTCCGGCTGGGTGTAATGCATCGCCGTGAATCGCTTGACCGGCAGGTCCGTATTGGCGGTCATCGAGTCGTCTGTAAAAAAAGAAAGAAAAAAAAACATGCCATTATATTCGGAGCTCGTTAAAACGCTTTCGATCGCGGGTCGCGTGTACACGCTCTCGTTTTGCTAAATTAAACGGCTATTATTGCTCAGACGTTGGAGTTGAAACGGGATTTATTTAGTGTATTCAGGGCTTTTCAATAGCGATTAAAGCTTCATTGACGTATACAGGTATATATATACATATATTTTGTATATTTTAATGTCATTCGTTCGGGATTTTCATCTCGACGACTAACTTTTGAATAAAACAAACAGAACAAACTCAACAAATGAACGGTACGTTGGAAGAAAAATGCTACGGAGGAACGAGGGAGAGCGCAAGTTTCGAAAGAAAATCTCAATTGCGAACAAACGACGACGACGACGACGACGACTCGGTAAAGTTGTCGTGGCGAGCTGTAGGTACGGTATACATAGGAAAGACGCCAAGAGAGAGAGAGAGAGAGAGTCAAGTATCGATTTTCTGCCAATAAAAGGACAATCGCGCGCGGCCCCGGACAGCAGACTGCAGTCGTAACCAGGCAAATGGAATCGTTGCTCGGGCCATCTCGCCGTCGTACCAAGGTACACATGCTCTCTCTTTCTCTCGCGGTAAAAGCGAATAAAAAGCCAAAACCCGATGGAAATTAGGGTAATCGTGAATTTTAATTTATCTTCATGAGCTGCAGATACGCCTCCGCTGCTGCGCACTCGTCTTCCGGAAATAATTTACAATCTTGCACGAGAGTATAAGGTTTCACCCGAAAATAAAAACGCTGAATAATCGACTGGCGAGAATCGATTATTTCAATTGAAAGCTCCGAACGGCGGCAACGGCGTGAGGGCTAAAACCGATTCTATTTACTGCGAAGCGCGCGAATAATTGATCGAGCAGTCATTTCGAGCGCGCGAGTTGATTGTGGAAATAAGGGCGAGCAAAAATGCTCGAGAGTTAGGCGCGCTTATATATGAAATTACGAATGAATCTTTGTCGTTGCTATTTTTTCTCTCCCTCTCTCTATCTCGATACACTTCTGTAGATTGTCCAGGGAACTGACCTTTCGCGCGGCGCTCACCCAATCCAATTTGTGTTTAACTTTCTCGCGGGACGGCAAAATTCGAAGAAAAAGAAAGAGCGAGCGAAGAAGAAGAGCAAAGTCAAGACAGACACGCGGGATCAAACTTTTTTAAAAGATTGACTCCTCAGTACGCGCGCGCGAGAGAGAGAGAGCGAGCAAGTATTTTTCCAATATATCGCGAAATAAAACGTAAATAAAGTTCCGCGCCGAGATAAAGCAAAAACCATGTATATACGGAGAGGGTCGCGGAATCGTGGAAAAAGTTTTCAGCTCGAAATTCATGATTCTATTAGTAAAATTTTATTCGAATATAAGCGAATGAGTTTAGTGTAGAGAGGTTAAATTTTGCGCGCGCGCACACACACCAATCGTTCGGCTGGTATACACGCAGGAAAAGAAAGGGCGACTTTCGATTGCCTTTCGCCGATCTTTTTTGCTGGTGTGTTCTGGAAAAGAGTGAGCGAGGGAGAGAGAGAGAGAGACGAAACTCGTCTCGGAAGGCCCGTGATTCAATGCTGCATCGCCCGATCGAATTAAATTAAATTGTTAAAAAGCGCCTCCGAGGGCTCGGCCTTCACGATCGCGCGCGCATTTCAATGCCGAGTGCAATACTCTGGATGCTGCTGCTCCTGCTGCTGCCCAAAGCAGTGTGCTGGAAGCCTCCAATCTCTGCCTTTATAAGATCGAAGGTAAATTAAAACCATACTGGCGCGGGTAAATCGAGAATTATGCCTTTCCTTGGGAACACTGATGGGTGGGGGGTGGAAACAGCTTCGGGAAGAAATTAAAGTAGAAAAGCTCGAGAGATTTTCACGAAACGAAAAATTAATTTGAAAAATAAATTCGAACATGTTTATTCTCTTCATAATAAATAAAAAGTAATATCAATATCGATAATGGATCGTCGAATAATTAGTTAGTCATTGGATGAGTTCATTGAGTGTGGTAGGTACAAATGTAAGTACGTTTTATTATATTTTTACATATCATACATGTCAATGATTGTAAAACCACATTAATCTAATTAGCTTATTAATTCAGCTTGGCAGCGAACTGGCAGAAAGTTAGACTGGTTAGTTCGTCATGGCTATATAACAATATAATGCATATTGGCTCGTTCGGAAATCGATCGACCTGGGTGGCACGTCGGATATCAAACAACGATTGTCATTATAATATATTAGTATATAGAATCACGTCGATCGATTATCCGCGCGAGCACGACGTCAGCGTGCGCGTTATTACTCGTAAAACTAGAAAAAGCCTTTGCCTCTATACACCCGTGTTATACGCGCTACTGTTTTACTACTACTTCTACTACTCCTGCAAAAAAAAACCGCGCATCATCGTCATCATCGTCATCATCGTCATCATCATCAACGTCTGAGCATATTGGGCCTGGCGCCGCCGTAGTAGTAGCCACCACGGCGGCGATCGTCGTCGTCGGCTTTCGCACCTCTGCACTGGCCGAACGCCTGGGCCACGACGTCGGTCTGGTAGCGGCAGGCGTAGAGCTTGAGCTCGCACTCGTTGTCGTAGGTCTGGCCGTCGCTGCCGCAGACGGTGAAGCCGCGAGCGGGTGAGTCCTCGGGGCAGTCGTTGGGACAGACGCAGTGGGGCGCCGCCAAGCCCGTGGCGCTAGACGACTCCGAGCACTGGCCGCCCGAGTAGCACTCGAGCTTGTTGCAGCTGCTCGGTATGGGCAGCACGGCGTCCACTGCGTTTTTTTCAATTATCGAACAACAAGAAGCGTTAGTTATCAAGCATATGGTTAGTACGGTTATTTTTCTGGTTAAATACATGAATGATGGTTTTTTTTTTGTTGATTTTTTTCTCGGCTCGATGAGCGAGCGTTGGAAAAATTGATTTATATTTTATATGGAAATGACGCTGCATGTATGTATATGGATAGGAGTTTCCACCTTGTGTGTAAAGCTATAAAACTTGTTGTGCGCCAGAATGTATGCACAAAGTGTGTATATGTGTCTGTGTGGTTGTGTTTATAATATGCTCGGGCTGAGATCAAAGAGATATGCATTATATAAATGTAAATTATGCTCGTGGCAAACGCAAGAGCGAAGAAATATATATAGATGCATATACACAGAGAGGAAGAAGAAGGGCTGCGCGAGAGTATACGACACAAGTGTGCGCGCATTTATGTATATACAGTACCTGGCTGACATCCCTTTGGAGTCAGAATCTTATTATGATCGGTGCAGATTGTGCACTTTTTCCCTTGGATCTCGGGCTTGCAGACGCACAGGCCCGTCATCTGCTCGCAATCCTCGCGAGTCGAGCCGAACAGCGAGCAACCGCATGCTGTGTGAGCAAAACAAAGAGAACCCGTTAAATCCTCATGAACTTTTTTGATGAACAGTACATTTATTCGTTGGTGTATATCAAAAGCAAAAAAAAATCGTACGTATGCAGCCTTGATGGCCTTTGTCGATCTTGGACAGTCCCCAGTAGCCGGGCATGCATCTGTCGCACTTGAGGCCACCGACGCCGGGCCGACATTGACACTGGCCGGACTCGGGGTCGCAGGTGTCGGCTAGGCTGCCGTGTCGATTGCAGCCACACTGGTTGGGGCAACCGGCTCCGTCGGGACCCAGGGCCGCTGTTCTGCCGTCCGGACAGCAGCCGTGCCAGGAGTCCTCGCAACGCGTGGCCGGTGGGCGAGCCGCGTTGCTACCACCGTTGGCACCACCGTTGACACCACCACCGGGACCAGCCGAGATCTTACTACAGCAGCGAGCGAATCGGGGCGTGCGATGGCAGTAGCCGAGACTCGGACAGTCGCGTCGATTGGGGCCGTCGCCGCAGTCGTACTCTTTGCCCTCGGAGTCGAGCATCGGCTGTTCGCCGTTGCAGGGCTTCACCTCAAGGCCTACAAAACCAATAAAAATAAAATAATTCAACATCACACGTCATAGCTCCCAGTTTGATAAAAAGTCAAGAAATTCATTAGTCATTCGTTAGTATTATGTTAGTGTGTTACTATCGCAGACCTTGGCAGAGATCAAGCGGCCTGAGTCTGATCTCCTGCTGCTTCTGGCACGACTGCATGAGCATGTGGCACTTGCTCGGATAGGTGTGCATGTCGCTACCGCAGACGGGCTGCATGTTTTCGGGGGCGATGCTGGCGCAGTCGAATTTGCAGCTGCAGCGCGGAAAACGATCGGGTCCGAGCTCGCAGGTGGCATTGAACTCGCACTGGATGTCGCGGCAGGCCTCGAGCTCGTCGTGATGACCACCACCAGCAGCAGCACCGACACCACCGGCGCCAGGAAGACCGGTGATGACCTCGCCCGAGGACGAGGCGCCCGACGGCGTGACGAAGCGCGAAAGAGACGGCGTCGACATCGTAGCTGTACGTCGACGAGTGTGCGGTTAGTATCGCGTTAGTTATAGTTAGAGTTAGTCGTTGAACTCGAGAAATCAGAGGGTTAAAGTTTATACTCGGATATATCGTATACGAATACTCACTGAGAGCGGCCACGGGGAATCCTTCGCCGCACTCGCCGTAGAAGGTGACGTGCAGCGGCGGCAGGTGGGGCTCGCGCTGGCAGGCGGCCTTCTGCAGCTCGCACTCGCTCGGGTACGTCTTGCTGTTGCTGCCGCAGACCGAGTCGCCCGTGGGCTCGGGGCACTGCAGCGGACAGATGCACTGGCCGGCCTCGCAGCGGGCTCCGTTCTCGCAGGCCACGTTGGCGCATTGTTCTGAATGGTAATAATAACGATACGTAACGTGTCTGACCGTACATGTGGCTTTACTACTGATTTTTGTTTTTCTTCTTGGTGTGTACTCACCGCAGTCACCCTTGTAGCTGACCACTATGAGGCTCTGGGTCTTGCAGGAGACTTTCTTGAGCTCGCACTCGCTGTCGTAGGTCACTCCGTCGGATCCGCAAACTACCGCCGAGCTCGACGAACTTCCCGACGACTCCTGCAGCGTTTATTTAATATGCATTATACAACGTATGTAGCAAGCCATTTACCAAATGAATTTATTATTCACTCAGCATACACACACACACACACACACACACGTACACCCAGACGAGCGCGATATATAACGTACGCGACCGGCAAGTACTTCTTGTACTTCTCCTCAAAGTTTATAATCCCATCAGAGTGGCTTATCAGCCTGATGTTCTGATCTCGAATAAGTACGAACACATAACACTGTACGTACACAACTTAACGCGAAAGAATCGCAACGAGATGGATAGAACTAATTAATTTCGTTACATCGAGCACATGATCGAGGTTCGAAACGAGTGCTTTTATCATTACAAACACGCGTACGCATGAAAAAACAGCGTAATAGCGAATGAACGCGCGCAGTTTGCGCCGAAGAATTCCGCGCCCGGCACACAGCCGAAGAAGAAGAAGGAATAAGATGCCTCGCCTCGAGGCAATCGCGCTAATCGCTGCTGCTGCAGCTACAAGCGGATGCCTTTGCTCTTTCTATACGGATACCAACTTGTTGCTCTACTCTCTCTCTATCTCCGTCTTCTTTTTTGCGCGGTGCTCTCGGTGTTCTGCGCTAACGCGTAAATAGATTCGATCGAGTAAATGGACGAAAAAAAAGGAGTAGTAGTAGCAGCTAGTGTAGTTGGATGCGATAAAGTGAGTGAAAGAGCGAGAGAAAAGTCCATTACAGTGCGTATATTTGTACTCGGAGTCGGAGCGTTTTCAGTATGTATACAGGGGAATAGAGATTGGCGAGATTGTGTGTCGGCGCGCGCGCGCGTGTGAGTATGAGTACGTGTGTGTATAAAAGCTCCGATGTTAATGGTCGCGTTAAAAGGCAATGTTCAAAGGACCGTGAGATTTGAATGGAGTCCAAGGAATCTTTGGAGAAGCCGAGCGAGAGCGCGCGTGGCGGTGCTAGAATTTTAAGGACTCCGAGCTGGAGAGCAAGAGAGAGAGAAAGTCGTAACATAATGGACTGCTCTTGCTTTTTGGCTCGGAGTTATATTTCCGAGAGCATATTGCGAATCACGAAAGAGGCAATTTCGAGATGTATATCTGTGTATGTGTGTTATTGGCCGCAACCACTAAATGCCTGCCGCGCACGAAACTGTGCGTTGCATACCAATTCGTGCATTCATTCCCCTTTCTGGTGCTTTTAATTATTTTCTTTGCTCGAATCGATACCAACGTTGCGGATCTGACGAGTCGACGCTGTGTACCCGATAATGCCCTCGATCAAAATCAGATTAGTCAACTTTTTGTCTTCGTCTCTCTCTCTCTCTCTCTCTCTCTCTCTCTCTACATAGGAGTGCTGCAGCGCATATACAACGATGCGTACACATTATGGGAGACACATAATGCAACGCAATACATCTCCATCATCTAATCAGCGATATAATCCACTTGTCGAGAGCACCGACTCGCAGCATCATATATATACTATATCTATGGCTGTGTGCGGGATCTCTAATTAATGGATCGCTTTCGCACAGCTTAGAATCGTAAAATCGGCAAAATATCTTTGCCATCGTGCGCGCCGTTACGATATCTTGCGGTGATTGATACAGCACGTTCCATTATGAGATTATCGTAACGAATACGCCGTGGCGGGCGCGCGCGCAGTACGCGTTCGCTAGGCGCGGAGATTCAATTTAATCCGAATACAAACGGGGTATACACGCGCTATATACAATTAGACACGCTAGCGAGCGTTATATCGCTAGCGCGCGAAGCAGAAGATCAAGGCGTGAAAAGGAAAATACGTTGCGAATCTTGAATTAATCCGCACCGTCGCGAGTTACGTATAATGCGCATCGTACATGGAGCATAATATAAAAAATATTGTGGATATACTCACGCTGCTGTTGTTGCTGCACTCGCTGGGACAGACGCACTTGGCCTCGCCGTTAGTGTCGGTCTCGCACACGCCGTAGTGCTCGCACTTTTTGCTCTCGCAGACATCTGCAATTAAATATATGCCACGCGTGTAATTTTTTCTCCTTTTTTCGATTTTTTTTGCAGTTCTACCGTGTAACACTGAACACGGACACTAAAAATTGTATAGGTGCACACCACGTGCAATGTTACATTTTTTAGAAGCGTATTTATAATACGCGTGGTTAATTCATGCAAGCTATAGACGCATTAGTTTTAATTAACCTCTTCGTTATAAATAATGCATGCATCGTGGCTCGCCGTCGTAAATTTGCGCGCCATCAATAATTTTCACGGTTATGACGCTTTAATCGGTGCATTTGCCGCATCATATCGATGTACAGTGGAAATCACATAAATCAAAGTTCTCGAGTTCGTTATTCGACTTAGAATTTAATATGATACATAGAAATTATTTAGCAGCTATTTAATGTAAATTTTTTCGAATTATGTGGCATTAATGTATTTTATGCTTCCTATAATCACATAAAAAGAGCTTTGTAGAAATGAATTCTTTCATTTCACTTTTATCTTTTAAACGAGTCTGCGTGCGGAATTTCTTTGTTTTTGATTACTTTTCGCGAATACGAAGCTATCCAGCTAATTGAAGTTTCTTTGATTCTACGTTGAAATATATTATTTTCGAACTTTTTCAGTTTCATCAAAATTTAGCAAGATCTCGACACGCAAAAATACAAAGTTTATCGATCATGTCAAATAGTTTATTGAAAAAACATATACCAGAATAATAGAATTTTACTTATTCCTACAACTTTTACTTTTTTGTGAGTTTTGATAATTCGGACTCGAGACATCTAGCGGTAACTTAGGTACTATTTAATGTTTGACTCTTAAGGATAAGACATATCAACGTTTCATTGAATACTTATAACAATATGTATGAAACACACTTTTAGGGCTCTAATTTATATATCCACAATTTTGAAGTATTTTTATTACCACAATTCGTCAACAACCTTAAGTTTGAAGAGAAATATAATTAGAAAAATGTAATGAAAACATTCAATTTATATGGAACATTTCCATCGAATTTTTGTCTTTGAGTTTTGCCAAGTAGTTTTAAATAGGGCTCGAATGGGACTAATTGATCATTTCGAATTATACGATATTTCTAATTGCACGAGTTCAAATTACGTCATTTCCACCGTACATGAAAGCCGGGAAGCAATAAGCTAAAAAGGAAAAATAAAGCTCAGTGTCCATACACAATATACGCGTAAGACGTACGCATGAAATATAGAGCATGCTCGGAAGCTTGTTAAAAAAAGATAGATAGAAGTAAAAAAGCAGCAGCTGAAAAAATCTCTCTCGATACGCACACATACACACACGTGTGCGCTTATAAAGACAAAGGCAAACGAGAAGGAGAAGCGCAAGCTCAGTGCATTATTAATCTCCGACGTCGAGCCTCCTCCTCACTGCGTGTTTTATACACACGTATGTCTGTGCTGTGTGTACGTAAGCGTGCGTATATATGTGTGTGTGTACGTGCGGTTGCGGCTGTGCTGCACGATGAAGCGTGGCTTAGACGTATAATCTCTTCCTTAATCCCAGGCAGCCGCGCGCGTTCTCGAATTCATCGTTGTTGAGGCACGAGGTAAAACACACACGCCACACGTAGAAGCAGCAGCAGCAGCGGCGGCGACGGTGGCGGGGGCCTCCCCTGTGCACATGCATATGCAAGTCTCTCGCTCGAGTCTCGCGCGCGGCAACGACATGAGGACACAGTCGAGAGCGAGATCAGCAGCACCGCCCGCGTATGTGTAGGTAGGTACAGAAAGCTGCGGCTGCCACCGCCACCCCGCTGCTGCTGCATTTTAATCCAAGTGGACTCGAGGAGTTAGTTTGCGGGAGACGCGGCGCGCGGGAGCCTGTTTTGCAAGCCCGGCAAACTGAATTTCTATCCTGGCTCCGTGTGTGAGCGAGCTAGCTAGTTTCGACTACAAAAAGCTCAGGATGTTCTCCGTTGCTTTTCTTTTCATTTTTTGTTGTATAACTGACGCGTCTAATCGCGCGCGCACCCACGATTCCTCTTTTAAACACTAATCGTATTATATATATCTCTCTCTCTCTCGAGCTTTCTGCGTTTTGCGTCGCGCGCGTGAAATAACACGAGTTTACGAGCTTAGATAGGGGGTTACTTATAGCCACATGCACACGTGGAGCTTGGAAGTGAGGAAGAAACGAGATGTAGAAATGTATACAGCGAATTTGGCCTTTCTGCATGTGACTCGTCAACCTGACGGGATTTTGCGAGCATTGAGAGATTTTGCCGCTTGCAACGATGCGCGAGATTTGCTAATTCCTTCCGCATATTTGAATAAACATGCACACGCGCTCGATCGAATCACCCAAATTTTACTCTCAAGACTCGAGATGGAGCTAAATATAATCTAGACATCTACTTATATTATAGAAAGCATATACAGGAGTCAGTAATACTACTACATTGACTGATGATTGATTAATATATACTTTTTTTACTTTGTTTCTTTCAGATTTACAGATTAAGGTACTTGTCATCTAGTGGTAGAGACCTGAAGTGATATTATCGAATTTTGAGCGGTTGTAAACTGATTTAAATTTTTTGAATCAACTGAATTGTCATTAAAATTTGTTCAGAATTTTCCCACAATTTTTGAATTTAAAAAAAAAAGGTAATATTCAAAAATCCGAAATTCGATCGAAAAATTCTGAAAAAATTCACACGAGTTTTTGGATCAATTCTTTTTGTTCTAGTAAATTTTTACTCCCCAGCTAGAAATGCTCCACATTAATATTGACCAAAAAATGACCATTTAAAATTTGTTAACGTACTGATTATTGATTGGCTTGTTTTTAGCGATTGATCTGTTATGTTACAAATATTAAACACATTTCAAGTTTTGAAAAATTGTTTTCAACTACTTTAATTACGTTAATGCTACTTGAAACCTTCGCCGCTAGATGGCGAGTACCTTGAAAGGTAAATCTGCAAGTGGCAAAGTAAAAATAATTATATAAATAAATTTTTTATGTTAATGAATATTCATAAATCACACTCTTCGTAGTCTCTACTTAAAAAATACAGTGGTTTTATGACAGTTTGGGCCAAAACAAGTTAACGTGCTAAATTTTCTTGTTCATGTAACGCGTCATTAGTACGCGAAGGTTTGTTTGCTGGTCTACTTTGCAAAAGTCGCTCGAGTTCGTGCGTACGTACGCGGATATGTGTTCAGTTGCTTTTCTATATATACGATTGTATAGTTACAACCCGACCACGGGTCGCGCACACACACATAGAGACACACCTAATTCCAGGGGCCGAAGCAAATCAGCGTATTTACAAGAATGCAAATGTTGCACGTGGCACACACATGTACACACGCCGTACGTATGCACTAGCTCGATCTTGCTCGGGCCAGACTCGAGCGCAGCGGCAACGAGCTTCGAAACAATTGTGGCTTACCGACCGTTCGTGTGAGTGTATGTCTGTATATGTTATGTGCAGTGCATATATGAGCAATTCTCTAAATGAAACGCATTTTTGGAGGTAGAATCGCGGCAAATTTTTTTTTCAACCTAAGCGGATACGGACCCCTGGGAAATGTTTTTGGGGGTCCTAGGAACATGAACCCACGTAGGAACCATTGAAATTTCAATAGTGCTTACTTTTATAGCTACTTTTGTGATTTAGAGGACGAAAAATCATGTTTTCTCGTTAGTACGGCTAATTACTCAATTTCTAAGTCGTTGAAAAAGTATCAAAACTGATCTTAAAAAAATAACTGGCTACTGTGTTCGATAGGAAATGTTCTCAGCTTTCCAATGGTGGTGTCAGATTTTCCGATAAGTTGCACATTCACCGAGAAAATCGCCATCAAACATGCCAAGCTAAATATCTCGAAAAACTCGGTACGGAAAAAGTGATCTTTGAGGTTTATTTTCGATTTTTCCTCGTGAAAATGAAATTTATCGAAAAATCTGACTACACCATGAGAAAGCGGAGGAAATTTTCTATCGAAATCATATCTTCATTTATTTATTCAGTGGAATTACAATGTTATACATCGGAATTTCTTTTACGTTGTTCGCTGTTTTCTGTTTCCGAGCTGATACAGCGCGGTCGCGAGGTTTTCGGCTCACTACAATCAAAACTAGCTCGTAATTCCACTGAAAAAATAAATGAAGATATGATTTCGATAGAAAATTTCCTCCGCTTTCTTATGGTGTAGTTAGATTTTTCGATATATTTCATTTTCACGAGAAAAAATCGAAAATAAACCTCAAAGATCACTTTTTCCGTACCGAGTTTTTCGAGATATTTAGCTTGGCATGTTTGATGGCGATTTTCTCGGTGAATGTGCGACTTATCGGAAAATCTGACACCACCATTGGAAAGCTGAGGAAATTTCCTATTGAACACAGCAGTCAGTTATTTTTTTTAGATGAGTTTTGATACTTTTTCAGCGACTTAGAAATTGAGTAATTAGCCGTACTTACTAGAAAACATGATTTTTCGTCCTCTAAATCACAAAAGTAGCTATAAAAGTAAGCACTATTGAAATTTCAATGGTTCCTACGTGGTTACATATTCCTAGGACCCCCAAAAACATTTCCCAGGGGTCCGTATCCGCTTAGGTTGAAAAAAAAATTTGCCGCGATTCTACCTCCAAAAATGCGTTTCATTTAGAGAATTGCTCATATACCTGCACGACGCAACTTATTGCCATTTGCATGGGACAACGGCGGCTGCTGCTGCTGCGCACAGCCTATATTCGCGAGATGTGTGTGTACACGTGGCAGTAAAGAGAAAAAGGAGCACAGGATTGCGTAGCCATGTGCCCGCCGCGCTGGCAAAGCACACGAACAAGTTTGCTCGGAAAACTTTGTATTTCGTTAGCACATTATACTCAATCACGTGTTTTGTGTGTGTGTATATTTGCGAAAATTCAGATACATGTATTCCACGAGCTATCGAGCAATCGCACAATCGAGCTCAATTTTTACCAACTTATTGCTATACGTGAAAGTATTCAATGATGGAGCGATACGAACTCGAAGAAATCCTCGTTAAAGAGCGCCGAGCTAATAATATCGAAAATCCAACGAGTACAAAATGCCCCGATTTTTCACAATCAACTCGAACCGTGTATAATGTACAATTAGATTACGCGCAATCTCGTTCCTGCGTGCGTGCTCGTATAATAACGCGCGAGCGCAAAATTTTATTATGCCCGCTCGTGTCACGGACAATTATCCGTCGTCATGCAATAATACTCGCGCGCGTGAGCTACTCGTATATATATAACGACGACTCTCGAGATTCTTCCGCACGCGTGCGACGCGGAAGAACACGGAAATAATCCGGTTATAGGAACCGCTCGCGAGCTTTTTGAAGAGAGCGAGAGCGAGCGAGAATGCAAATGCAATAAAGCTTCGACGGGCGGGCGCGATCGCTTGATTATAAAATGCTTAGGTTAAAATATCGTTATCTGTATTACTTTTTGCGAGAGATACGTGTGCCGCCGTGCGCTTCGTTAGAACTACTATGCACACATTTTTCCTTTCGTCGGTAGCAATACAAAAACTATATACGTGCTGAAACGAAAGGATACGTATCCTTGGTAGAAATCTTCAAAATAATAATGGACTGATGAACCAAAACTATACATTGGAAATGTTTAAAGACATTACCATTAATTGGTATATTTTAAATACTATAATACTAGTTTAGGCCTCCACCACTAGATGGCGAGTGCCTTTATATGTAATTCTGCAAAGTGGCAAAGTCAAAATAATTGTATAAGTCAAACCTGGTTTTTCATTATATCTTGGTGCCCGTATTCGGTTGTCATATTAAAAATTATCCATACAATTTTTTTCGTTTCCACCAGATATGCGTGATGGAATTAAAAATTATAGACAAGAAAAGGAAAAAAACACTCAAGCTACAACAGCATCTACCGGTTATATGTATAACAATCAAACAGTCGTACACGTGCAACATTTACATACATCAGAGAATTTCTGGTCTACTGTATACAGCACGCACGCGTACATGTCATGTACACATATACGCGCGCGCCCACACATAATAATACAAATACACACAAATATATATCGTACACGTAATACGTAGTAGTAGTAGTATGTATGACTTACTGCACTGCTCGTGGTAGAGCACGCGAATTTCGCGTCGGTGCTGACATGCCTCGTGCCTAAGTTTGCATTCGTTGCCGTAGCTAATTCCGTCGTCGCCGCAAACGGGCTGGAATTCGGCCGAGCAGCTCGGGCATTCGCAGTTGGCGATGCCGTTGATTTCCACGCACTCGGCGCCCCATTGACATATCTGTAATTGCTCGACCCCCGCATACGTGTAGGTATACTGTACTATGGCGCTTTGCTGCAGGTCGCGGCAGCAGTGGAGTGCAATGTACGCGCGCGTCGCTTATGATACACGAAGCGCGTAACGCGCATTCGCGGCGCGCGTCGGCTTTTGGCAATATGAGCTCACGCGCACACACTCGCAAAAATATGCGTATAACGCGCAAACAATCGCGCGAACGTTGTAAACTTATTATTTTCTCCGCAGTTTTTCAGAGCATCGCGTATAGCACGCACGCGTGCACGATGTTTACATTTCATCATGGAGTTAAAAATGAGCTTTCCAACGCGTACACTTCAACCCCCTTCCGTTTCTTTTCCTTTATGTTTTTTTTTGTCCTCTTTTTAATCGACGAGTTCCGTGTATAAACATCGTTAGTTTTTATTTCACGTTTATATTTGCGCAAGAGAGACACACGTACGCGACGCGGCGCGCTTACAATTCCATTAAAAAATTACTACGGTGCGCTACACGATGCTCTCTTTCTTTTGGGGCCGAGTATATAGCAACAGCAGTAGTGGTGTGCGTGCGTGCTCGCGATGCCATTTGAATTTTCGCGCGCGCGCGCAATGAGAAAACCAAATATCCCAAACCAGGACAGGTCAAGATGACAGCTCGGCTTTTCACGCCGTATAACGGAGCAGGAAAAGAGTAGTGAAGGGTGTAAAAAAAGGAGAGACTCGACTTTCTGTATACAGAAAGTATGCACTATTTATACACGGCTGTAGTAGATATATATATCGAACGAGTCGATTCAGAGCTGTTATTATTAAAGAGAAAAACAGGAAGTCGCTTATAATTGAGGTTGACTTCTCTTCTTCTCCGCCTTGCGTTTCTTTTTTTTTACCTATTCATCCTCGTCGTTTATACATACAGACATACGCTCGGGCGCGCACACATCGACACGTATGAAATGGAGAAAAAAAGCAGAAATGGGTAAAAGACGAAGAAAGGGTGGGGAAAGAAAGACACACTCACGTGCTCGGGCGCGTGACCTCATTATCTTCTAAGTTTGTGTCCTATACCTGTACGTCGTGAGGCCATATATATATCTAGTAGCGCTCGCAGTGCGCTAAGTTTCTGGGAACCGAGGGGATAATGACGCTGTTGAATTATCATTAGAGCGTGTGTGAGTTGACGTTGGTAAAAAAGAAAGAACGAAAGAAAGAAAGAAAGATGGAAAGGGATGGAGGGCGGGGGAGAAAAAAAGAGAGATAGAAATACCGAAGGAAGGAAGAGCGAACAAGGAGATAGAAAATTTTTTGCCATCTGTTACTACGCGCGCGCGTGCGCGCACTACTATCGTAGCACGAATGGATTTTTCTTTCTTTGGCCGGCGGTCGCGGTTTCACGTGTCCGTCGTCCAATTAACGCGAAGAAAGAAGATCTGGAATTGGTATTATATGGTGTAGTTAGGGCAGTATAAAAAAAAGAAGGAGGAACGAAACGAAAGAAAGAAACGAGAACGAAAAAGAGGGTAAGCGACGGGAAAGGGGGTTGGAGAGGGAAGGTTTGTAAAATCGTTGCCGTGTAATGGTCTGTGTGCGTGTATATATACGCGGTTAGCCGAGAGACAGACAGACGGACGGACGAAAGAGCGAGCGAGAGATAGATTGTCTCAAGGAGATTTTAAGATGGATTAAGAGAGACTTGACAGGTGGGGAATGAAAAAATTTCACTGAATATGATAGAGCTTCTTTCTTTTCTTTTTTGCTCTCCATCCGTATACGTTTTGCTGGTATGCATGTAGTATAATTTTTCGAATAATTATACTTTACATTCGCGAGAGTTCATCGCTTATTCTTTTTCCGCCGGTCCAATTTATGCATCGCGTATGTATTTTTACTTCGCATCCGCGCTGGGATACCTGGTTTTCTCCACAATGCCCCCCGCTTCTCTATAAGAATGCAATCCACTTCGGTACAAGATAATTGTCTATGTCAAACCTTGTCCGAGCAGGGTCCTCTGGAGCCGCAGACGCCGCTGTAGGCGAGCTCGATGCTGGTGCGCGTTATGCAGGCCTGCCGCTTGAGCTCGCAGTGCGAGGCGTAGGTGGTGCCGCCGCGGGCGCACACGGGCCGCATCACGGCCTCGCACTCGGGGCCGCACTCGCACTTGGCGATGCCGTAGCGATCGATCGCGCACTGCTCCTGCGGGCCGCACTTGGCGCCGTCGCAGGGATTCACGCCTGCGTGTTTGCATGTGGGTGACCAGCCGCAGGAATAGAGAAGAAGAAGCAACTCGTGCCTCGTTAAGTTTTTTTGTTTTGATTTGGAATTAAGAGGGTAATCATATTCGTGTGGGCGTGTGGTTGTATTCGTGTTTGTGTGAATATGGTTTGAATTTCGTTACAATGAGGGATGATTAAGTTCTGCATCAGCGTGTTATATTTATGTTAGTAAACACACTAAAATATCGTATATGGTAAGCAAATTTGTTTTTAATTATATACCATCACCATTGTGAAACGTACGTCATAATATAATTGTTATGCACACATACGAGCTACAGTTTATACTATTATATAAATATAATTCCAAAGATGTGAGTTGAAAAATAAAAAAAAAGTGAAAAATGAACAGGAAATAACATGAACTCACCGGAATTGCAAGCACCAGCGTAGATCTTCCTGAGGTCCCGCTGTCTGGTTCTGCAGGCCTCGAGGCGCAAATTACACTCGTTGGCGTATGTCTTGCCGTCGCTGCCGCAGACGGGCTCGTGCTCGGGTCCGCACTGCTCGTTGCAGCGGCAGGCCGGCTGGCGCTGAGCGTCGAGCTGGCAGATCTCGGGCTCGGTGCACTCCACTCCCGCGCACGGATCTGTGTGTACATGTAAACGAAAAAGAGAGAGGAGGGTGGTGAGCGAGATCGTGCGAGCGAGGAAAAAGGACAAAATTTTAAGTAGGGCAGTGCACTGCTGCTGCAACTGCTGCTGCTGTTACGCTGCTGCAGCTCGCTCGAGCGCGTGCTCGAACACGTGCTTTTTTTTGGCCTGTGTTTGTGTGGGTATTTTCAGGCTAAATTTGGGTCGCGCGTACGTACCAGCAAGCTTGCAGCATTTTATGTAGAAAGAACGAATATCGCTTCATATAATAATGTATACAAGCTGCCGGAGGCAGGGGCCAGCCAACTGCAGCAGCTGCTGCTCTGAGAAAATTTATATTTGATTAAATTTGCGAATTGCAACGACGATCATGATCGTCGCAAGGGCTCGTCGAGAGGACAACGTGCGACGACGACGACAACGACGTTTTCCGTGTCTTTCTCGAGTCTTGCAATTACTTTCTCCGGGGGTATACGTCGAGATTATTGCGCCACCGAGCATGGCCGGGGGGGTTGGAGAAATTATCATGCGAAGTCGTGACGCCGCCGACGCCGCCACGCTTGCGACGACAGTGATTAATAACGCGTCGTGTCAGAGCTAGGCGCTACTCGTACTCCATGCTCTGAAATGATGCTGCCTGCTTGCCTGCCTGCCTGCTCGACTTAGCAATAAAGCATCAGCGGCGATGATATAACGACTGATTTCCTGCATTCATAGAAGTCATCGATGTTGCGCGACGCGATATATTAGAATACGTGTCAACGATGTGAATGTATATAAAATATTTTGCACGTGGACGAGCTTTTAATTGAAAAATGAGTTTAACTAAGAGAGAGCTAGGAGCGAGAGTATTTCATAAGTATAAGAGCCTCGCGCGCGAGTATTACTTTTGCAAGAGCGCTTCGAAGCTCTCTCTCTCTCTCTTGGTTTTCTTTGAAGCTGGAAAAAGTCGCGCGCTCCACAACTTTGGCGGAATAATTAAAATTCATCGTATATCAAAGGTAATGATTATAAAAAAAAAAGGAAAATAAAAAGAAAAAAAAGTGTCGCCGTCGTCGTAATGCGAAACCCCATCGACGCTTGCAAGCTCTCTCGCGACCGCAACGTTCCTCTCTCTCTCTCTCTCTCTCTTGGAAAAAGGAAGCTCGAAGCTCGCTGCAGCCTGGCGTAGAAAGGAAAAATTAATGCCAGAGGGTAAAGAGTGTGCACCGCGTGCAGCTTCGCGGTCTATATCGAGCGAGCTGCGCACTATGAAAGCTGTGTGTTTCAAAGTGAGGACGAGTTTTAAAAGATGCCGTGCGGTGCGCGACGCCTGCTGCTGCTGCTGCTACTCTGCTCTCTGCCTCGAGGGCTGCTGCACGGGCAAGCTTACAGCTTTAAAACGTTATAAGTATACAGTATCGTAACGCGTCACAGCGCCGCGGCTCTTTACGTAACGCAAAGAAGGGAAAGAAGATAAGAAGAAAAAAAAATGGGGGGCGGAGAGAGAAGTCATGGCCCCGGCGACGAGCGCGAGCTTACTACAATCGTCCCTACTTTACATGTATTTTTTCTTCGCTCAAAGAAGTAAGAAAGTTAATTTACACGAGGCAATTAATAAAAAAAAAGTCGGTGGTTGTACCGTAAGTCGCTCGAAAGTGCCAATTCGCCGAGCTTTATGTGTCTATTATACATAATCTAGCTCTTTGGCATATAAATATATAAATTCATCGGACAAGCGCAAAATTCCATTAGCCGAGCTAGCTCTAAAGTCACACGCACACAGGCAGCAGCAACGCGTTATAGTATACGCTGTGTGTGTGTGTGTGTGTGTGTGTGTGTGTGTGTGTGTATACCTATCGCGATGCAGGTGGATGATGGTAGGAAAAGAGAGCTCACGAAGAAGCTGCAGTGCAGAGTTTAGTCGCTCCAGCGAGCTGTAACTTAAGCTACGGCGCTGGGTGAATATACGTATATACGCGCCACGCAGTATATACACGATACGAGAGAGAGAGAGGCAGCAGTCTCGGAGCGTAAAACGGAATCCAAACTTCCTTCCTTATATTCGTTGCTTTATGCGGCTGAAGATTAATCTGGGAAAGGCTCGCTCTCGCCTCTGCTGTATATAGACTGTATATACAGCTACGATCTGCCTGGGCTCTGTCTCTCTCTCTCTCTCTCTAGTTGTGTGCGCACGTGTATTATAATAAACTTTGTTACATCGCTCGATCCCTGCCCTCTCTATCTTGCGAGAAACGTTAGAAATTATTGCTCATACTCCCAGCTTTTACTTTGGTGGATCGGAAAACAATTTTCTACTACGTCAGGCGGCGAGTCGATTAAAAAAAAGTCTTTTTTTTAATAATCTTCGCGCTCAGTGCAAATCTCTATAAAATTCATGGCATTCGTCGAGGTAGCGGTGGTTTACCCCAAAAGTTTTTAAGCCACGAAAAAAAAGCTGCGAGGTGAAACTCGATTTTGTTTATACGCGCGCTATATATGCATTACAAAACGGCACGCAACTTGCAAGCAATCTCTTTTCCTCATCCTCGAGTTATATAAATTTATACGAAAAAAAATAAGCAAAACATCTCGTTAAATCAAAGCTGTATACGAACTTTTCTCGCTCCTCGGGTCGTGGCGGCCGGGAGCTAAATATTCATCGAGACATTTTTGATTAATGCGTCGCGACCCTGGCTATCTTTTTTATATTTTATTTTTTCAGGAAATACACTTGTCTCGAAAAATATATGCGCGCGCCCGGGTCCTCGAGTTGATGTTTTTCTGTTTTTTTTTCTCCTGCCCCCCTTCTCAGCTGACATTTCTTTTCATGCCACTTATGTGTCGGGGGCTTCGTGCGCGCCGAGTGTATTTATGTGTTTGCGCGAGCGAGCGAGCGAGCGAGCTTGGCCGTATATATACTGGGCAAGCTGCCCAACACCTTTTAGCAGCACAGCGCGTGTATTCGAATCAGGACCCTCTTCTGGCGCTTAGCTCGTTGAATTTTCGCGCTTGGCCTCCGACTTTTGCGCAGAGAGCAAAAGAGAGAGAGAGAGAGAGAGAGAGAACTTCAACTTAGCCCCTCCTCTTATTTCTCGCAAGCCTAGAGTTTCTACCACTGCATCTTGACCTATTTCCATCTCTCCAGCTCCACAGCTGTAAGCTTTGACTGGCACAAAGTTCTCCAGAATGCTATCGAATGTATATATACTGGGTGCGTCTTTTATGCCGTTTGAAGTTCGACCTGCTGCTGCTGCTGCTGCTGCATCCCCACATTTAGATACGATACGCATTCAATTACTTTTTATTTATATTGACTCTATACACTTTCTCTCTATATTTCCCCTCGACTTTAATTTGAATTATTTCTACATTGTAGAAAAATACAAATGTAGCGTTGCTGCAATCTACTGCTGCGAATCGAGCGCGCGAGTAAAAAAAAAACCGATGCGCTGCAATTTTTTGCGCTCGAGCGAGTTTCGAGAGCGCGAGGCGGAAAAAAAGAGGAAGACGCAAGCGTGTATATACGTACTATCGACTGCACCGTGTGCATCGACGGGGCATGTATAAATGTATATACACGCGCGCGCACAGACAGCTTTCCTTGCCTGTTAGCACGCTCGTATGTACGCGAGATCGCGTCGATATACGTATATAAACTATACCCGATCGACACCGCGTACAGAGAGAAAGGAAATATCAAAGTTAAAAAGAAAATTTGAGTGTACGAATTTGGTACGAATGAAGAAAAAAAAAGTTGATTAGAAAAATACTTTTGAGATATTTTTCATCGATCTCGTTAGTACATTTCGATTTGTGAAATCAAAGTTCGATGTATATAAAGCTTTGGCACGTGCGCTAGTTGATAAATATACATGAGATTAATCATGTCGCTCCCAAGCGAGAGCTTTCTGCAACTTTAACGAATTTTCAATGACGTACACAACGCTCCGCCGAGACGTCTACACATTCGAATGCGATTTAGTTTTATTATTTTTAATTGAACTTGCTGCAGCGAGTATGTGTGCGTATACCCTCGTCAGAAGTTCATAACGTCGCCCGTTGGATGTCAGAAAGTCGCTTAATAACTCGCGCGCGTGCAGCATCCAACATTAATACCTTTCGAAATTCAACTAGCTCGAGCTTTCAAAGCTTCCCCGAGAGTCTAACAAATCGATTTGTCCATGCGGAGCGCAGCAGCAGCAGCAGCAGCAGCATACCTAGACGTGCGCACTCGATGTATACATAGATATGCGGGGCGCATCGGGAAAAGATCGTCTTACACCGAGCTACACTGCAACGTATATAGCTCGACAACGCGACGTCAACATTAAACGTTAATTACACGGGAAGTTGTCGAGCAGTAATGTATACGTCGTAGTCGTCGTAGTCGTGTGGCTGCTGCCTCAGACTTGCAGAAACGTTTAATCAACCGAACAGTCGAAGATAAATGTTTGATCAGACACAGAATGTACGTTTGCTGAGAATTAGGTAAGTTTATATACACGATGAGATGGGGGAGGGAAAGCATAAAGATATATTGACTCTTCAGACATGTCTACGAGCGCAACATTTTACCTCTTTTATTTTATTCTTCAACTCCCTCTCCCTTCGTCGTCCCTTTTCCTTCTTTTTAATGATTTAGAGTAATTTCACGTGAAATTGACTATTTTTTTCTCCCACGCGCGCACACCTCAATGTCATCGCTTGTATGCATAAAGAGCGTAAAAAATGAAAAAAAAAAGAAGAAGAAGAAGAGAGGAAGCAGGAAAAAAGAGGAGGGAATATGCAGTGTTGCGCGCGTTACAAGTGCCACGTTATTTTCAGCTTCCTTGAGCTCGACGCGCGCGCGCGCGAGCTTCCGTTTATAAAAGTGTGCGTGTGTGTGTGTGTATACGAGTACGTGTGCAGTATACGTACACACAAGCTCGAGCATCGGAGCAGCAGCAGCAACTCGAGAGTTTTCTCTCTTATCTCTATGCAAGCCCAAGAGCGCGACGCCGGGGGATCCCACGGGATTTCGGCTATATACGGGCTCGGACGGCTCATCAAGAAGAAAAAGAAGAGAGAGAGAGAGAGAAAGACAGAAAAAAAGACAGCAGCAATGCAGTTACGTGTCTGTCTCTCTCTCTTGCTCTTCAGCTTTATATATATGAGACTGCTCTATACATATATCGTGTGCAACTTAGAGATTAGCTGCAGCACACAGCAGCAGCAGAGTACAGTGCCCCTAAGAGTGTATAAAGCAGCTACAAGCTCGACGCGAGCGACTGAGAGAGAGAGAGAGAGAGAGAGAGAGAGAGAGAGAGCTAGAGCTCTCTGCTACTGTATATATATGTGCTGCTGCTATATAGTAGTAGTGAGAGCGCCATTTTTTTCGCGAAAAATTACGCGCTACTCAGAGCGCGCGCGCGACGCGACGCGTCGGCGGCTTTAATGAATTTTTCTCGTGTGTGTGTATGTGTGTGCCACTCTCTCACTCGCCCTCGCGGGATTATGATAGCAGCGATGCGGCAGGGATTTTTTAATCAAGAGCTCGAGAATATACATTATATATAGTGTACACATTGTTGCAACGCGTGGTTGAGTTTTTGCTCGAGCTGCTGGAGATTTTTTATGTATACATTTACAAAGACCCTTTGAATTTTCGTTTATCATAGTTTTTCAAGACGAAATAGTTTTGCGTTGTATATATTTTATAACCGTGATATACACGCGCATTATTTTATCAAGGGCGTGCCTGCATGAAAAACGTGTTCGGTTCGAGAAAAAGCTGCATTGTGTGCGAGCCGTGAGTCGATATATATACACGCACGGGATTTCACAAACTTGCGCTTATACATGCGGGGCAAGCTAAAGCTAATTCGTCATTGTCGCTCGTTTGGTCCAGAGCTCGATGCTATACACAGCCTGCAGCAGCAGCAGCGGCAGCAGTTGTGCACTTCTGACCAATTCAACGAGCCATGAAAAACGACGCATTAATGACGCGTGTACACTAACAACAGCAGCAGCAGCGGAGGCCCTCGGAAAATTCAATGTGTCCGCGTATATTCCTCGTTTAGCCGCGCGTCGAGCCATGCGCGCACGGGGCTATTATTTTTCGTTTTTGTTCGCGGTGTACATCCATGCCTGCGTGCTCGCGAGCCTGCGTACGCAAGGTGTAATGACACGTGCGAGGATACGTGCCGTTCGATGTATATATGCTGTGCGTGTGCGCGCGTGTAGCAATATCAACATCGTCGCGAGTTTGACGCGCTTGTCACGATCCGATCCACGCTCGCGCGAGGCTTTTGTTCGAGTACAAATATTTTTACGCGATATACGTATCTTATGTGTTCGTATTCGCGTTACCAATAGACACACACACATATGGCAATACATCATCAAAAATTAATTAATTTACTGGTTTAAAAGGCGAGTAAGTCGATACTTGGAGCGGACCAGAAGTTGCGCCACATTTAACAATGGCTCACACCTCAGAGCAGGACTAAATGTGTCGCACCAAAGCAGCATAATATGCAAAAAAAACTTTCCGCTCTAGTTTCAACACTCCTTATTTTTCATTCTTTATTCTTCCTTTTTTTCTCTCTCTTCCCGTGTCCTCTCACGACTCGTTCGTATACACCTGCGTGCATTACGTGCCGAGGGGGGGAGAAAGCACACGGCGCGCTGCAGAAACTGATGGCATGTACGCTATAGAGAATACGAGAAATTGGTTTCGCGGGTGGACATGTAAACCCATACCCATACTCTCTGCCTCGCTCTCCTCCTCATTGTGCGACGCTTGAATAATAGCTTTCGATACAACAACAGGCGCGCGAGCGTTCCGGTCGTTGTTAGGGTACCACTGCTGCTGCTGTTGCTGAGAGAGAGAGAGAGACAAAGAGAAAATCTATGGCAGCCGATACATTACATTTTCACGCTCTCTCTCTAGCTCTAGCTCTGCCTCTCTGCCTCTTTCAGCCAAGCTTGCAAAATATCCATATGCCACGTACAAGCTCGCGCCACACGCGTGTGCTCGCGACCTTTCATTTATAATATACATAGATGCGAATGTTTCCGGTCTGTGTACATATATTTATGCATTATTTGTAGGACAGACTCGAGGCTATTTTGTAGCATATGCATCGTGCCTTTTCGGCAGCAATTTTTTTTTTCGTACATCGTTGATACTTTTTTGTATAGCCGCAATGAAGTCCAGTATACAGCAAAGGCTGTACAGATGAAACATACTGCAGAGGTTCGTGAATGTACATTTGACCGACGGGCTCTGCAGTAAAATGAATTAGTTGTCGCATTCGATTGACGAGCTTTAAGTCGTCGCACATAACCGTATATATATACATACATACATGCGCCGCAGTCTCTAAATCAGCTGAACGTTACCGCTCTCACTCGGCAAAGAGAAAAGAGGATTGAGAAGGGGTGTGCGGCGCCGGTGGAGGCCGAGGGCTCAGGGTGTACTTTATGCGTTGTAATGGGCTCGGCTGCGCATTTCACGAACAAAGCTTCGATCAAATGGAATTGGCTAACGAACGTGCAGCCTGGCTATAACTTCCGATGCGCCGCAGCGCCATTATATAAGTGTGTGTGTGCGCGCGAGTGTGTATGTATCACAGCGTGTGTGCAGTACGCGCGTTATGCGAAAATGAATCGACTGACCGATTTTCAATTTATTTTATTATCTTCAACGATGAAATATTTGCAAAACGCGCGTTTATCCATACTTATACATCATATACACCGGCCGACGTGCAAGTGGAATGTATCGCTATTTGGTCAGACACCTTCACAGAGCATCACGAGCTTTATATACGTGTTATATATTACCATGGTGTTCTACTCGATATATTTTGCCTAAGAGATCTTGTTAACCCCTGGCCATCTGGAATAACTGTGTACAGCTCGAGTGTGTGGTTTAAGGAGGCTCAAAAGTAAAAAGACCTCTTTATGAAACCTGGAAATTTTTATTTCACGATCTCGCGCTATTTCTGCTATCTTATCATATCACAGCAAGTCGCTGCTCGAGGCAACCTTTTTTATTAACCACTAGATGGCGTGAGGCAATCTGCTAGCGAGTTATCCCCGCTGGGGCCTAAATACTTGTTCCTAAATTATATGTTATCATAATATTGGCAAGTCGTTGCCCGCTGGCCGAATCGAGTAATGAAATTGACCGCTATAGGTGGCGTGTGACCCCTGACTGTTATGTACTCTAACAAAAGCCAATAAAACTATTTCAGCTGATGACTTACCGCACTTGCCGCGAAAGGCGACACTGATGTTGGTCGACGTGCTGCAGGCGACGCGATTCAGGTCGCAGAGACTGGGATAATCGACGCCGTCGCTGCCGCAAACCGGGCCCGCGGCGTCGTGATCGCCGTGGCTCGGACACGAGTCCATGCACTCGCATCGCGCGTCCTCGCCGTCGGGCGTCCTCACGCAGTGCGAGCCGAGGCTACAATTCAGCTTGGCGCAGGGGTCGGTTTTTTCTGTAACAGAAAGACAAGTGTGTCGTGACGTCAGTAAAATTGTCTCGATCGTAAAATTTAATTTTAACTACATTTTATTTGGTAAAATTTATAATGCTTGAATAATAGGGTCGATTATACCTGCCGGGAATATGTAACAGCACGTAGCAATATTGAGTAGCAAAAGACCAACGGGTAATCGACGAAACTTCATGGTGGCAACCTGCAAAAACGGCCAGTCGCATTTTTTGTTTTCTTTTTTCTTCATTGTACACGAGCACATGAGCGCCTTTACGCACGATAAATTATGAATTAATCGAAAAGCTTCTCGTCAGCCGTATCAAGGGGATTATATCGCGCGTGCAAAAGCTGCCTCGAGCCAACGTACATTATGTGTATATATAATATTTAAGTACGAACGCGTAATTAACAATCGTCTTTTTGTGCCGAGCGGCGCACAAAAGTTCGCAGCGTAGAGAACCGGGAATACGATTATGCGCGTGGGAAGCGTGCGCTGTTCATCGCTTATTAGTCGATTAATTATTCCGGTGCATCGAGTAATTATTGCTTGTATAACGTAATACACACACGCATTAACGAGCAGGAAAAATATTTCTATTCCAGCAGTGCACGCGCGCGCGCGTGTGTGTATACATGGACAGGGGCTACAACACTGACCATGTGCCGATGATCGTACACGCGGCGAAGGAAAAAAGGGCGATGAAAATGAATTTCCCCGAAGGTATGTACGAGTGTGTACACAATTCACGCGTACGTACGAATTGGGCAGTATAACATCCTCCCTCGCACACAACTATAGATATAATGCCACACACAGTCACACACACATGGAGTACGCGCAAGAAGCAATTTCCTCTCGCTCACGCGCGCCCAGTTCAGAGAGGTCTGAATAATTCAACAAACGCGCGTGAGCGTGAAAGTGGCCAGTTTGGATTTAGTTAATTAACAATTACGAAACTTAAGCGCGGCGCACTGCGCTCGCAGTGCACACACCGCCACCACCAGCAGTAGTAGTAGGGCCAGCCAGAGCAGTAGCACCAACGAGAGCTGAGAGCGCACACAACGACAAGCGAGAGAGAGAGGCTAATTCGAGTTGTCACCCCCGAAGCCACCGAGCCACTCACTCTCGGCGTGTATGTAATGAAATGTGAGTGTGCTAGTAAGTGTCTGTGTGTGTGTATGAGAGAACGGGCCATGGCCAAAGGTCGATCGCTAATCTTACAAGCCCCCCTAAAAACCTTATACCTATAACTAATTATTCGGCACATGACTGTGCACGATATCCCGACGCTTGCGAGAGCGGAATTTTATATACATAATAATAAATATAAAAACCGATCGCACAGCGGCGTTGCTCGCGATAAAGTTGATACTGCCGCTGCCACGGGTGCCGCGCGCCACAAACGCATCGAACGACTGTGCATACAGGCTCTCTCGCGAGGGTTTCCAGAAAATAAAGCAGATAATTCTCCTCGGCGTACAGCAGCAACGGCGGCGCGGCAATATAATGTAACGCACGCTCGTCCCCCATCGCGCTCATGGTCTAAAAGAGACCATTACTCTCTACTATACGTGTGTATCTGCGTGTATGGGTTATAGTATACACGAATAGGTTTATATACAGGTGTGCGTGTGTGCGTGCCGGTGGAATGTAACGACGACTGTTTCGCAATTAAACGAATTTTATATCATCGCGCGAGCGAGCTCTGCCCAGTATATATGCATGCATGCATGTATGCGCGCGTGTGTGCGCGGGAAAAGAGAGATGAGAGAGAGAGACAGAGAGAAAGAGCTAAAACGAGCGTTAGTACGGTGCAAAAACACGACCGCCAGCTCGCGCACCCGTGGAACCCGAGATTTATACAGCGAGTTAATGCAATTTGCGTGCGTTGTAATGAGGCTGTCTAGTTATTACACTTGATTTTTGCTCGAGTTCTTTTTTTCCTTTTTTTGCGTGTCGTTATACGAATAGACATCGTCATTTTTTGATGCCGCTCGCACGCATTTCCTGATGTAAGTCAACTACAGCGGCAGCAGCAGCAACAACAACAGTCAACCAACTATACTATACGGAATACTTTTTATACATTATATGAGTTAATTATTATTTTTGAAAAACTTTCGCATACGCGCGTGCAAAGTTTTGGAATTTTTTTTTTTGCGTTGTTCTGTGTATACATACGGAACTTTGTTAGGATAGAAGAGGACTCGGGAATATAGCGGCAGTAACGAATGAAAAAAAAAGAGAGACAGCGAGAGAGGAGAGGAAAGAGGAGGAAACACGTAAAAGTTTTTATACACAATGAAATCAAGCTTCCTTAATAGTCTCATCTGGTCTATTCTACGTATGTGCAAAAGCCGTATTGTTCTCTCGAAAGTTCGAGGAGTGAAACTTCTTGCTTGCTGAAAAAAAACGTCTCTGTCTCCCCCCTCACGCAGTACTGTGGACATCACGGGTCGCGCGTTTATTTTAACCCATTCGGTCGTAATGACTAAAGTTGAGATTCATCTTGCAGCTCGTTATATACGTATAGGGTATAAACGTTGTGTTATACTCGCCACGGAGAGAAAATAATTTTTCCAGTTGCCCGCTACTACAGGAAGAGTATAGAAAAAAAAGCTTCTGTACATATGACGCGCAAATTGTGTTCGCGGATCATAGGCGAATTTTCAAACTCTCTCTCTCTCTCTGTCTCTCTTTCTCTCCATCCCCTGCGGAGGCCGCAAATATCACAATTAATAACCCATCCGAGCACGCAGAGACCTGGCCATATAGAAACGATCTCTCTCCATAATTCACATAATACGAAGGAAGTCCGACGAAGCGGTATTATATTCTCTTTCAACTCAGTGCGGGATTATGATCCAACAAAAAAAAGGTGAAATATACCTCGACTTTTGCGTCCGTTTTTCTCCCTCGGCCTCCCTTCCTTCGCCCACCTTCTACTTTTTTTCTGCTCGTTTTGCCTAACCTTAGCAATGGTACACGTATAGGCGCGTACATGGACAGACGTACATACTCGCGCGTACGGAGCTTTTCCCCTCCGTTTTTTTTTCCAACAAATTTTACTTTTCGAGCGAAAGATGGAACTTTCAGCACCGTTGCGCATTGTAATTCCGTATATGTACGATGTAATTATTTTTCTCGTTAGAGATGCTGCGCCCTGGCGAGACTCACGTACGTATCATACATGCACGTGTCCCGAGTACGTGCGAACACACTTTCGGCACATTTGTACGGCTTGTATAGCGCGTGCATTTTCCGCCTGCGAGTCTTTTCGCGCGTACACCCACACACATACCTAGAGATATCGCGTTTTATAATCGTTATTTTTTTTCCGTCACTGCGTGTACGTACTACCTTTTATTAAGCCGCATCGTACGTACCCATACCCTCGCACAACTCGTTTAATTTCGTCCGAGTGATTTTATCGTCGCCCGCGCGTCGTGTATCGGTTTGATTTAATGCGTCGACACGCGTGTCGTCGAGTCAACGAGCATTATAAACGCGGGAGAACGTGTTAAGCTGATTTTCTTCATACCCGCTAACTATAATGTGCGTGTTCTCGCACAACAACAACGGCGATGATGCCGACGACGCGTCTTTTCCAAGCTCCATGATATAACCAGCTTTACATGCGCGTGTGTGCTGCTGCTGCTGCTGCTGCTGCTGCGAGCGCGAACCGCAAACTGCAAGTTCTTGCGGTCCCGCAGACGCTCTAATGAGGCTTTTATGCGCGTTTACCTCTTCATCAGTTGTATGCGTGCGAGGAGCAGAGCGGCGGAAATGCACTAGATATTATACGGTTTATACATTGTTTGAGATTTGTCAAAACAGGCTCTTAATTCTTTCTCTTTGTCCCTTCCTAGTAGAAATTCTCAAAATTATATAAAAATACTTAGTAGTTGAGAGACTTAGCCTCGTCTTATACAAACCAGGCGACTTATACAATTATTATTACTTAATCACTTCCAGGTTTACGAATTAAGGTTCTCGCCATCTAGCGGCGAAAGTGTGAGGTGGTGTATCGTATTTTAAACCGATAGAACTGCCCAAAAACAAGTCCATTAATGTTTACGTACTTTAAAACATTTGAAACGATAATTTTTTCATAATTAGGATTTTACTAATGTTAAAAATTTCCATCATGGCTCTTTTTAGCTGTTGTATTTTAATAAAACAAAACGCGAGAACGAGTAATGTCGACGTCAGTCGTAGTGCCAAAGATACATCTGTTATTTCGGGTGTATACACACTGCCTGCGTGTTATAGCTGCAGCGTGAAATGAGAAATATATATTTGGCTGTTATATACGAGAGATCGTACCGTTAATAGCGTTCGCTCGCAGGCAGGCAGGCAGCAGCAGCGGCACGGCCAACTGGAGAGGTAAAAACGGCTTGATAGATAGGATATGCGCCGAGAATTTTACGACGCGCCGTTTTTCATCGTCCCCGTAGTGTGTGCGCGCGTCACGATGTAGTCGGGTTGCCGCCGCTGCTGCTGCTACTGCCGCTTGTGCTACACGCTGTGCCGTCGTAAAGTCGCGAACGTCGTGTTTACCTGGTTTTTCGACCATTTAATTTTATCGCTGCTATACCAGGGACCTGAAATTTTTGAATAATCGAAAATTTCATAAATCCTTTACAAGATGAATTAATTTCACACGATTGTTTTCGATGCCACGTCGAGATATCGTTGATGCAAAATCGATGCGGAAAACTGACGACAGTTTCAAAGTCTAGAGATGTTATACATGCACGAATGAAGACCTAGCTAGCACACATAGCTGATACTGCTCCAGCTGCTGGAGGCACACGAGAAGTAACAAGAAGTTACAATTGAAACGAGCTGCGAGCTTCCGGTGAGACGTTCATAACGAGACCGCAACGGCCGCCCGTCTCGTTCGCATCGGCATCGTGCGCCAGAGAGGATATCGACTTTTGCCACTTCCCTGTGCCCAATTATCGAGGATGTAAGGCGGTCAATCGCGACGAACTTT